TAGCTTATTACTATATTTTTTATAAACTGAGTATATCTAGTTTTATATATAATATATATTCTTATAATTAATATATTTTAATTTTTTAACTCTGCCTGTTATCCTCCGCAGATATTTATAAATTTAATAATATTTTATATAATATATACAGATTATCTGATTAAAATAGATACTTTTATATAATTATATTATAAATAATTATAATATTAATAGATATATAGTATTCAATTATATTAAACCACAGTTAGAATCTGGAAATTTTATATAATATTATATTTAATCACTTTATTCACTGGAACAGAAGAGATAAATTTAATAATAATTATTAAAAACTTTTATTTCTTAAAATTTTAAGAAGAGACAGTCAGCCAGCTTATATAAAAAATTCTAATATTATTTTTTTAGTAATAAACATTATTTATTAATAAAGTCTTACTGATTCTCTTTAACTAAATAAAATTTATTAATTTAATTTATATTTTATAAATTATAATTCTTTATATCAGATAATAGATAATTATATTTTTCCAGAATTTATATATTTATAAGAAATACTGCTAGATAATCTCTATTTTTATAATAGAATAAAAATTTAAATTTAAATTATCTAATCTTAACTACTATATTATAATAAATTTTATAACAGCTAGAAAGAAGAAGATATTAGTCTAATAGATTTAAAGATATATTTTTTCAGTTTTTATTAAAATATTTTTAAAAAAAATATTTTATAAAACTAAGTTATATTCTCTAGATTATTAAATTTAATAATAATCTGAGTCTTCTCTATTAGTTTAAAGAAGAGTATATCTGTTAAAATTAATCCTGATTATATTAAGTTGAGTAGTAGTATATTTTTCTATACAGTAATATTAGTCTAGTTATAAATATTAAAAAAGAAAAACTTTTTATAGTAATTTTTAAAAAATATAAATACTCTTTTATACTTTGATAAAGTATCTTAATTTCTATATAAAAAACTTCGTGCTTCTACTATTAAAAATATCTAAATCTAAAAATCTTTTTAACAGATCCACCAGAAATTCCTGTATATTTTTAATATAATTAATAACTAGCTTAGACATCTGAGAGCCCTTACTTACTTCTAAATATCTAAATATTATATTTATATTATATTAAAGATCTAAAACATGTTTTTAGGGATATTCTGATTTTCTCACGGAAACAGTTAAACTAGATTATTCAGATATCTTTATCGCCATCATCGCCACCGTCGCGATAACCCAATAAAATTAGTATCAAACAATAACAAAGAGAGTTATGAGAAACTTATCAAAAGATGAGGCCTCCAGGGCCTTGCTTGCAGCATGATTTCAAAAATTAGATTCCTGCGCAAGTTATTGTTTTCCGGGATCAGTCCTCCCCATGCTCACACAAAGGTGAGCTGAAAACAGTATGATTGGATTAACAAAGCCGGGTTCTCTATCCGCTGATCTGAAACCACAGCGAACAACTAAACAATTAAGAACAAGATATTATTTTTATTGGGATAAGAAGTAGTATTGTGGCCATTGAACAAGTACACTAGTACAATACCTTAGTCCATTCAACATAGTAAGAAACTGCAAAAGGCATGTGTTTTTTTTTTTTTTTCCTTCTCATATCAATTAGCAAGGTTGAAATATACTAGGGTCAGGTAATGCTTGCTAGGCGAATTGCTATCCGGAAGGGAGGAGATACAAATGACAAAGTAAGGGTACGATCACATCAGAGAGACCTCGAGCGTATCAAGAGATAATGTAAAGTCACGGCCCTTAGGGTTGTCCGTGCTTGTCACCGCGAGGCTTGAAGGCCTCCAAGGCCAAGCCGATAATATGTGTGCGTCTGAGCCAGTGTGGCCCAGTAACTCAGTCTGTTGCGAGACAATCTAGGGGAGGGGGCGGAGGTAGGAGACCTCCAGCAAGCGCACCTACAGTCGACTTTACATCTAAAAGTGGTTCTCGAGGTTCATACAGAGCCCCGAAATGCAGAGCTGAGGAATGTGGCGGGTGGGAGGTCGATTCTACAGTGCCTCTTGGCAGTGGGAAAAGCCCCAGGTATATAAGCTGCATTAAATAGCGATAACTGTATGACATCGGAGTGCTAACACCTTACTGCCCAGCTTCATTTTCTCCAAGCCTGGGCCGACCTTTCACATGCTCTGCACCAACGCTCGTGTGATATACATGTAATACGCTCTACGAAAAGGCAGAGGTGGGGCCTATAATATGATAAGTACAAGGTTATCCTATAGTGAACGCACAAGTCCTACAGCGAGAAGAAGCCGCTAACCACATGTATCTTGATTTCACGTTACCTACAATTTGTCAACGACCAGGAGGGATAACTATCAGCCAGGTATTGAACAAACCATATAAGATATCTACCCTTCTGCTTCTCGCAAGAATAATATGTAACCGTCCCAACGACGAGGCCTAGTTAAAAGCTCAAAGGCGTTGTGAAAAACTTGCATATACTGTCATTTGTTGGCTAATGACACTACTTTTGACATAAACTTATCATACTTGGAGCAGTGGCACCGTGAACCCAAGACGGCAGAGCAACCAGAATCCATGACCAGCGGATAGCTAAAGCTTACACGCTCTCAAGAACCTGTTCCTTGAACTCTCTCTCAACCTTGTGTCCCTTATCATCGGTTGTAGACTCGCCGTGCAAGTTAAGGAGGGCACCCGAGGTCGAACTTGGGGGACTTAAGAAGCTTGACCTTGCGAATGTGGACCTAATAGAGTATTAGATGGATCGCAATCATTTGATAGAATACGAGGGTCGAGGGGGACGAACGTTCTGCAGGGGGTAAATTCCCTGGGTAGCCTTCTCAATCTCACGACCGATGACTTCGGGGATCAACTTGGTAGTAAGCTGAGCGAGAGAGCAGCTAGCGGCCTCGCGCTGCATGATCTCGGTCATCTTCTTGCGAATAGCGCGGATTTGGGACGAGCGAGCATATGTAGTCTTCTTGATTTGGTTGGGGCGTCTCTTCGTGAAGGCGATGGCGAACAGACGGAGAAGATAGTCATCGGTCGTCTTCACAGTGACGTTGGCTTCAATCAGCGACTGCCACTTGCGCACAAGGGATCGCAGCTTGTCGGTCGTGAAATCCAGACCGTGGAAGTTGGTCAGGCAGTTCTTTCCCTGGATTTCGTCCACGCGGAGCTTGACCTTACGGAAGGCATGGTCCTCGTCATTCTGCAAGTCGGCAAGGGAGACTTCGAAGATACGGCCCTTCAGGGAATCGTTCGCGTTCTTCAGACCACTGGTACGGTTCACCAGAGTCTTTCCAACACTTCAACAAGAACTGGTCAGTGACTGGTTTGCACATGGGGAATGCGACAAAAAATGATTATAACGAGGCGAAAGAATATCTGAAAGTCCCGACGACGAAATTTGGGGGGGAGGGGCGATGCCATACTCTCTGGTCTGGAAGGTCGAGGGAGCCTATTCCTGTCAGCAAAATCCACACACCCTCAAGTTGCACACTTACCTTCACAGAGTACTCGTCTTTCCGGGTGAAAGGGTCGACAGTTCTCTTCTTAACACCCTTCTTGCCCTTCGACAAGCGCTTGTTCCTGCCATAAAATCAGTAAGAGACTACTACAATCGAATTGCTGCAACATAAATCATAATAGAGTAGGGCATTCACGTACTTTCCAACGGCCATATTTGCGACTCGTGTCTATCTTGCGCGGCTTGAAGACAGACTAGGATATCACACCACACGCTCTGGTGGAGGTGAGTCGAATCGATTGTCGCTGCTTGCTGCTTGCTGCTCGATCGCGGGATGAATGTAGAAATCGAAATCCCACAGAAAAGTCGGCTAAGCGAGGCGTCGGCCCTATCCAGTTACATAATATTTGCGCCTCCACTAAGCCCCCCAAAATGCAAAATGATTGGTCAAAAATTTTACATCACATGATTTTATCTACCTCCGAGTTGCGGGTATCAATCTTGCCATAGATTGCAAGTGCCTGCTCGTCGCTTTATATAGCCATACTGCCATGGGTTTGTTTCCGCAAATGCCCAGGTGTCTATGCTTGAGTCAAGTGGTTGAGTAAAGTACACTTCTAACCTTACGCTGTCTAATAACATCATTACTCTGGACAAGCAATCCGCAAACTCCATGGGCTCTCTCCTTTTTTTTTTTTTTTGTCCTCTGGCCCATATACACATTTTCTACAACTTGGAATGCACCATATTGATGCTCACTACGGCCTTATGGTTATACAGCCTTTGGGTATATATGGTAGCTAATTCACTGGCAGCCTCCAATTGTTGTCAATTGCTCGTCAACATGACACATTTACCCAGCTACACAGTAGCTATCCATACTTCTGTAACGTACGGTACGGAGTACACCGTGTCGTGCCATACGAAAGCCTTTTTCAGATCACGGTACCTCGACTAGCAGAGATCTGTGTAATCACATAAAACAAATATAAACCATAAGAAGTAATGTTGTTGATATTTCTATTATTCGTTTCGTTTCGCTTGTTCTATATTGCAGTAACTACTATGGTTAAATTAGCCTATAAAGTCCCTATTATATGACAATAACCGATAGAAATTCCTAATGATGTTGTGGTACATATATTACTATTTAATAGACCCGTTGAAGAAAATATAGACTGCTAACTTTTATAATCGCTGAGATATCATAGTCGGAATAGCGATTCGGGGGGGAACTAATTAGTTAACTAACTAATTACTTATAAAAGTTACTAATGTATCCGATGACTAATCTACCGCCAGTCAACCAACTGGTTGCATTTCCATCACTTTATGCCACCAAATAGTGTTCTTGGAGTCTCCGGGAGTGCATGTAGTGGACTATTAGGCTATACTTGTCTAACTCCCCCGGAGATCCCTAGTCTTCCACTGAAGCATTCAGAAGCACATTCAGATAAAATCGGTCCGGTCACTTGCTCGCACTGCCTTGTTCCACTAGACTTGTGTCTTCACAACATAAATACGCGGTCGAGTTTGCAGCAGTTTCGTGCATTGCTCTGCTGATCTCACACCGGCTATTGGGCTGTCAATCCAAGGGCTTCAGATTTCCTGCAGATCAAAAGTCAGCTATAATTGCCGGTCGCGTCACCCAGAAACTTTGAAGCATGGTATGCCACTCTACACAGCGCCAATGTACCTTTCTCTAAGCTTTCCTTGAATTTAGGGTAAGCGGAAGAAGTCCAGCAGGCAACCACAGCAACCCAGAAAGGTGACCACCTTCTGATTCTTCAGGGTTACCGTCGCTAATACTCAACTAGAGAGAACCGTTGCCTACGACATTTGCCTGCCTTTTCTGCAATCACGAGAACTCCATCGTCGTAAAACTAGACAAGAAACTTGGCCTAGGAAATTTGTCCTGCAAAGTCTGTGGCCAGCGATTTCAGACGGGCATAAACTGTGCGTTCATGTTTATGATTTCTCCTAAGTGAGTGGCATTTGCTCATGATATATACATAGATCTCTCCGCTGCTGTTGATGTATACTCGGATTGGGTGGATGCCTGTGACGCGGTTGCCAAGGATACTGCTACCAAGTACGAGGATAGTGATCCTCGTGTCCGACGTTCGAATGATTTTGCTACCTCTCCCAGCGCTCGAGATGTTGGGTTTGAGGAAGCGGATCGGAACGATACATATGCCGATGAATACTGACCCTGGACTTAGAGGATCCTGCAGCGTACCAAATGAAGTAACATTGAACTTGCGGCACGATCCTCAGTGGAAGATACTATACCCTAAAACTGTGAATGAAAACCAGCTGCGACATCGTTAAGCTGTAAACGTGTACTTTATTCATACATATGTATGTATGCCATAGTGGTTTCTGAAGCCACAATTTTCATTGGTATGGCTACAGCGTGTAATAGCGGTCGCCGAAGTCACCAAGCCCTGGTATTATGTATCTAGAATGGCCTTGGTCAGCAATGTACATGTAATCATTTTATCTTTTCCTTTTTAATAACGTGAGATACCCACTTTTTGTCATCTAGGCCTTGATCTATGAAAGCAGTCACTACCCTGAGTTTGGGAAAGCGTTCTGCGAAATCTGCAACACCTGAAGGGCTTGCGATAAGGTTAAGAAACAGAATGCGGTCCTCAGGGACCCCCTTTGCTTTCAAGACCTCAACAGCGAGTGTTGCCGAGCCCCCTAGTTGATGTTAGTTCGTTTAGTGCGTTGGTTCGACGAACTTGCCTGTTGCAAACATAGGATCAAGAAGAAGAACCCATCGATTTGCGATGTCGCCAGGGAGCTTTTCATAGAACAGTTTTGGCTTGCAGGTTTCCTCGTCCCTCTGTATAAGGATTTTACCAATTCGCACAGAACGACAACAATCTCTCAAACCCTGCTCCATTGCCTCTCCTGCTCTCATGATGGAAACACCACATATTTTCCCTTCGAACCGCACTCCGAGATAGACGCGACCTACAGGTGTCGTGACCGATTGTTCAACCACTGGCAGGTGATTGAGCCCCTCCTCTACGAGGAGGCGTATGATCCTGTTCGAGTAGAAGATGAAATCGGCACGGCTAGTCCTTCTATCTCTGATCATGCTACGAATGGTGTCAGCATATGATACTGACTAGTGTTAACCTGTATGATTTGACTCGGCCTTCATCTTACGTCAAAAGAGCGATCAGCTGAGGGGACTGAGGTAAAACGTGGACATTCTCGTAAAATATGTCCTTTGATACTGTCGCTGTGGGCTTTTCGCCATCGGGTCTGTAGATGGGGCCAACGCCTTGTGCGGGGGAGGGAGTGGCTTCTGACATCTCGTTCGTCTTGGCTATGGTAGCTTTCCCCCTCCTTCTTCCACGGATGCAAAGTACGACTAAGAGGTGAAGAAACAAGAAATGAAGGATATCTGCAGCGAACTGTAAACCGTTCCAAAGGTAGTGGGGTTGAGTTGAAGTGTAGGAAGTAACGCAGGCATTTAAAGCTAAGGAATTAATATGCGAGGGTTGAACATTTTCCTCATTGGGACGGTTAGTGGGACTACTTAAGTAGTTGGCTATTACAATGACTATTCTGTACGGAGTGCTCCGTAGTCGACTGCGTAATACAGTATCACGGGTAGTACGGAGTAGTGCGGTAAACTATTCGTAGGAGTGGGTTCAACCACATGCAATCAATCTAGAACCGTCAACTATCTTCTGCAGAGAAGACCCAAGCTAGCATTCAACAAAAGCCTTTCAAGTTCAGGGCCAGTATTTCCCTGGGTCTCTGCCTAAGTTGATACATCTGGAAATAATTGCTAATAATAATACCCTCTCCCCTCATTACGGGGTACCGACTGGTGGAACAGTGCTGTTCCCCGGCCACCTTTTGGAAAAGCCAATGACTGGATTGCTCATGAATGTTCTTTCATGCATGTGTCTTGTGGATCACTTCGCCTTGTGAAAATAAACCCCAATTGATAAGTTCCTAAATAAGCATCCGAGTGTATTTGTCATAATCAGTCCGGCTGATCCTGCGACGTAGCTGTATACTGGGTAGCTAAAATCTGGTACTGGCAATTGATCGTCAAGGAAAATGAAAAGGTTTAATTTGCAAGCAAAGCCTAAAGTTCGTCAACGGATTGCATATCTATCAAGAGCGAAAGTTTGACACAAGGCCTTTTTCCTTCCAGGTCATGCACTTTGCTCTTAGGTGATAGTACTTTCTATTCTCCGTGTACAGGATTTTATAAGTGCCATTTCCCACGCTAAACCACTTAGCCTTGACTATAAAGCTTCCTTTACCAACACGGTAGGAGAACGCGTATAACCATGCAAAAATGCATCCATAACAAGAGGCTAATACATAACCCTTCCGCCGATATGACATAATCGCTGAAGTTCGCCCTCTCTAGCCTCTGACATGGGTAACTCCATTGCAGTATACTTAATTTTGGATTGTGTCTGATAACTAGCAATAGGAATGCTCAGAGTCGAAGCAGCTAAGGAATTAATCGTCGCCTATTGTTTAACCTTGTTGATAATACATAGAACTGCGGCAGACGGCATTCCCGCAACTTCTGACTCTATAACAGGAGACGAGATTGATGTGGAGTATTGCACGCTTGCATTGAGCACATATTTCAAAAGTTTTGACCTTTTGGAAGCTGTTGAGCCAGTCCCGTGATCGAGAGAATTAGCGGATATTAGTAAGGTATTCTCAATGAATTACGGAGGACCAACTAACAAGGTGGGTCAAGCCAACCCCGGAAGCTTTGTACGGAGTAGTACCAGTACGAGATAGTACGTAGTGCGATGTTGTAGTCAACTATTAGGCTGCCCAAGATATGGTACGTTCCAACGCGATCTCACACCTGCCTCTAAAACAAAGTCCTCTACATTCTTTTAACACTACAAGAAGATCTGGATGCCACCAACCTTTATCAAGCGCCTCGCACCCCGCTACGGTTGGGAGATAATAGACTCATGCGCAGTTGATTGGCATAACTTATCCTAAATGCCCCAGAAAGATACGGCCAGAAGAGCTTTGGGGAAGTCAAGCCGTTCATCAGCGGAAGCATCCCCTGGCACTCGATCGCAAACGCCTAAAGTTACAACTGGACCCCCGACATTGTTTGACAAACGCAGTGGATCTGCAGGCCGTCATTTAGCCCAACAGCCTTATACCCCTTCGAATAGAGGCCCGATTCAATCCGAGCGCAGTCGAAAAAAGAGGAGGTATATGCATCCGGAGCAGTCACGGCCAGCCCTTGACCAGAGTGACGTACACAATAGCGATGACGCAGCCTCAAACATCCACGAGCCTATATATGATTGTGCGGCTGATGCTGTGTACAAATTCAATGATATTGAAGGAGGTTCCAGTTCTCAGAATGAATCCGATATTGAACGCAGAGGATCAGATTACCCTTACACTTCAGCTACATCTGTATCACGACGGCTTCACATCGAAGAACAACAACCCATCTCAGACAGTAACACTCCCAGCCAGACTTCGGCGGAAGCTGGGCATGACAGGAGAACTGTCTCTGCTCGGAAGAGACTGGTTGATATGCTAGGTATATCAGTACCGTCCACGGAGACTAGCTCGAGTGATTTTGACTCAGTTGTAGCTGAAAACATACATTCAGACAACTCCCGGCCTTCGCAAGAAACCGACAACCCTCGCGCAAATCAGAGTGAACATCCAGATGAAGTAGCAGATCATAACTCTGAAAAGGCTATCAAAGCAGAAACTCCGATGCTATCCAGATTACGGGGCTCTAGGATCACTTATGCACGCCAACGCTCTTTCTTGGGTAATACTCTGAGCTTGACAGCTCTTGAACAGCGGGACACTTCGGTACCCTCTCCAGATCCTGGTGATGCAGATCTGGGACACATCACAAACAATGATGGTAACCAGAATTTGGTTAGTGACGACGAAGAGATTGAATCCAGACCTGTGCGTAGCATACATGAGCTTAGACAGGCTGGAGATAACGCTCGGTTTCGGGAGTCAGTTGAGGTGATATTTGAAGACATTGAGGATCCATATAACTCTCTCTCAGGGAAATGTAGTAGCTTCGCACAGCTATGCACAAAACTTCTCGAGCATGCCTTCGTGCGTCGTTTCTCAGAATATGGTTTCAATGAACGGCTTGTCAAGTGCATAGCGGATGACCAAGACGTTCTCATTACGTCCATGGCTTTATGTGCATTTAGACTAATATGCTCGAATGGCCTTTTCTCTCACACAAGTCTGAGGTCTTTTTGGACCATAATCCTGCGAATGTCTCACAAGCTCCTCACCATGACCGACGACATCACAAATATGGCAACTGAGGGAATCACCGGCCTGTCCAAAACTGTGCAAAGATCTTTCAAAAAGACCTTACCTCAGATTTCATCCGTGTTTTTCAGTGGGTCCCCTTCGCCGAGGCTTTCTCCCTGCTTGGTGACCCTTTCGTGCATCCAGTTCTGCCTTTCTACCTTCCTTGAAAAGGGTGACGACATTAAGCCTTTGCCCGCGACGCTGACGGAACAAATTGTCGAGTTGCTGATAACACAGCGTGACAATTCCGCCTCCATAGCGAGTCTTGAGAGTTATGAGTTAACAAGGATGTCATTTTTGATTCTGGAATCTCACTCGATGTTACCGGGAACATCAACGTCTTCTTATCGCAACTTTTCCCGGCTGCTTTTCGAGAATCATGGTAAATTTCTGCCATACTGTCAGTTTGATCGGAATAAGCAGATTCAGATGTTATATGCCAGGGTTATTCTCAACCTTACAAATAATGCGCCTTCGCTCTGCGAAGAGTTTGCTACTCCTGAGATGGTCTCGGACTTTGTCGAACTTGCCACTACTGGATTGTCTGGCACATCCATGGATTGCAATGTGGATGAAGATGGACCTTTCAATGCCCCTATCTTAGCTTTGGGTGTGCTCATAAACTTGTCGGAGCAAAGCGAGCTCTCACGAGCTGCTTTTCTTAATCCAGCGTCTGATTCTACGTCACTACTTCAGTTACTTCTCCAGCATTTCTCCGCGGGGCTTACATTTGTTGACCAGGTAAGAGTACAACACCCTGGAAAGGAGGAGAAATTGAGCTAATCTAGATAAGGCGCGCTCTGTGTCCGAAGTGCATTACAATGTTGTTATTGGGTACCTCTCGATTGTCTTGGTTACTTTGTGTCTCAACGAGGAAGCATTGAATCAAATCAGGGAGTCGATTCGTGGCGAAGGCCTTAACCTAGTCTTATCGACGGCAGAAGAATTCTTAAAGTTCCACCAGAAGGTTGAGCAAGACTCCCAGCTTTTTGAGAGTTCGGGAGAACGTGGAGGTAGATCTACAACGCGCTTGAAGGATGTCCTGAATCAGATACGCCAAAAAGCACGTCTTTAAACGCCGAGATACTTTATATGCAATCTTGATTCTCATTCAACTCCGTAATTATTCCATATGCAATCTGTAACAACAAAGACCTATTCTTGCAATGGTCGCTATGAGCGGGCTGCCCACCTATCCTTTAATGATTGTTACTTGCAACGGAAGGCTGGAAAAACATAAGTAACAACATTTCCTTGACAAATTGATATTTTTAGTATTAATTAGTATACTTCTACTATTAGACTTCCATCCTAATTGTCTGCTGTTGAGGTCTCCTCGTAGATATGAATATTGTTTTGACATAATAGTGATCCTGGTAGTTAGCACTGTTCTAGTTGCCGTTTGACTTGTTTGCGCTCCTTGATTGCCTGTTCGCCACTCCCGGGTGAGCTCATCTGTGATCTGATTGCCATCCCTATCATAAGTGCTACACGATTAACAAAGTTTGACCACTGAGGCCTCTAACAAACTGTTGGGTTCGTGCTTAGATACCTGTTAATGACCTCGAGAAGCCTATATCTTTGTGCGCAATCATCTCTAATTCATTGATCAACTTCTGCAAGCATTACCTTATATCTTATAGCCACTTTCCCGCTCCGTATTCTAAAAGATGCCTAGTGCACCGAAGCAGCGCAAAATAGCTATTGTTGGCAGTCGCTCTGTGGGTATGGCCTCCTATCTCTATGAAAAGCCTTGCTTGTTTGGTCTACTCATACTCACTAAATCTTTTCCAGGTAAATCTTCTCTTACAGTTCGATTTGTTGAACATCATTTTGTAGAAAGCTACTATCCAACGATCGAAAACACTTTCAGTCGAATCATCAAATACAACGGCCAAGATTATGCCACTGAAATCGTTGACACAGCTGGTCAGGTATGGAGAAAATCTGACCCTGATCCTAGAGTTTCCGGTATATGGCTAATACTGCTGTAGGACGAGTACAGTATATTGAACTCCAAGCATTTCATCGGAATACATGGGTATATTATTGTCTACTCGGTGGCTTCACGCCAGTCGTTCGACATGGTGAGGGTCATACGTGACAAGATTCTGAACCATCTTGTGAGTATCTCATTTGTACCTTGCAGCCACCGTAGTCGCTGACATGAAATAAGGGTGCCGATCATGTACCCCTTGTGCTTGTCGGAAATAAAAGCGATCTCAAATCTGAGCAACGCCAGGTGTCTCTAGATGAAGGCCGGCAGCTTTGTGAAGAATTCCATTGTGCATTTACTGAGGCTAGTGCTCGTCTCGACTATAATGTTGCGAAAGCGTTTGACTTAATGATCGGGGAAATCGAAAAGTCGCAAAACCCATCACAGCCGGCAGGAGGCAACAAATGCGCTGTAATGTGATAAGGCTTATGATGTAGCAGGTTAGGTATCTAGCCTGGTTGGCCTAGAGAATGGCTACGTCTCGTTTGGATATCATTTTTCTTTTTCGGAGAGGCAACATAGCTGTTGATTAGCCTAGGTTGTTGTATTTCTGGGAGACGTTTTTTGCAGCTCTTCACTGGTGCAGCTGTGATTCTTTCGGCACTCGATTTGCCAATTACTGTCTTTGTTACATAATCTAATAAATACACAGTAGCTTAGCTTTCAAGACATGAGAGATGTGATGGTATCGATTCCTATAACAAGGGAAGGTGTTAGAGGGCAGATTATAGACAGCCGACAAATGCAATTTGTGTAGTATGGCCGACTAACTTCCATTAGTATGAGTATGCTATACCCAATCGGTCGAGCGCCTAAATTTCTGCCCCTCCATCTGATTATACACCAACCGAGTTCTCTAGCCCCTCCTTTCCAACTTATTACAAGCTGTCCTCCCCGCCAACTGTCGCCGCTATTTTGTCCCCTCTACTTGGATGTTGAGACACTAAATTTTTGTACTGTACAAGGATAATTCGTTCAACATGCTTGATCTGGCAGACTTCATCAGTGATCGCGGTGGCGATCCGAACAAAATTAAAGAGAGCCAACGGAAACGCTACGCCCCAGAAAGTGTCGTTGATGAGGTCCTCTCCCTATACGAAGAGGCGCGGCGTGGTATGTTATTTGCTTTTTCACAGGTATTTCACATTTTAAACGGCTGATCTGTGATATCCTATAGCACGGTATGAGGTTATGCAGATTAACTCCCAGCTCAATGCCCTTCAAAAGGAGATTGGCAAGAGAAAGAAGGTTCGCATTTATTTTACATATATACCAAATTCTACTCTGATTTAATTTAACTATTTTATCCCTTATTGCGGTGGCAAAAAACTGACATATAATTCTGAAAAAGAATAAGGAAGACGCGAATGACCTGATGGAACAGAAAGCCAACCTCGAGAAAAGCAAGAAGGACGCCGAGGAACTTGCTATCCAAAAGGAAAAGCAAAGAGACAGCAAAATTCGGACCATTGGCAACATTGTTCATGATTCTGTTCCCGTGAGCAACAATGAAGTACGTATTGTACTCGGTCTGAGACGAGAGACTCATCTAACCGAAAGGACTACTGTTAGGACGACAACGCCGTAATAAGGAAGTGGGCGCCCGACAATGTGAAGGTCGAGAAGCGCAACTGTCTCTCTCACCATGAGGTTCTCACTCGTCTAGATGGGTTCGATTCAGAGCGTGGGGTCAAAGTGGTTGGCCACCGCGGCTACTGTTTGACAGGTTATGGGCTTTTCCTCAATCTCGCGCTCATCAACTATGGCTTAGAATTCCTCTGGGGTAAAGGCTACAAGCCTAACCAACCCCCTCAATTCATGCTCAAGGACATGATGGCGAAGACCGCCCAGCTTGAACAGTTCGACGAGGAGCTCTACAAAGTCACGGAAAGTGAAGACAAGTCCACCGACAAGTATCTAATTGCTACTTCAGAGCAACCACTTTCAGCCTTGCATGACGGAGAGTGGCTGCAAGATAAAGATCTCCCAATCAAGTTGGTGGTCCCAGCATGTCCAGTCAACTTCTCTTTTAGGCTAACCAGCACACAGGTACGCTGGATATAGCACTTGCTACCGGAAAGAGGCAGGTGCTCATGGTAAGGATGCATGGGGCATCTTTCGTGTCCATCAGTTCGAGAAGGTGATACGCCCTGGGCTACCCATGTTGCTTGTCATGCTAACTCAGCCCAGATCGAACAATTTGTCCTCACGAAACCGGAAGACTCGTGGCAAGCTTTTGACGAAATGATGGCCACTTCGGAAGAATTCTACCGGTCTCTTGGCCTACCGTACCAGGTTGTCGCTATTGTTTCGGGAGCATTGAACAATGCCGCATCGAAGAAGTATGACCTCGAGGCGTGGTTCCCATTTCAAGGAGAGTATAAGGAATTAGTATCCTGCTCCAACTGTACCGATTATCAATCCAGAGCCCTAGAGATTCGCTATGGCACGAAGAAGGCTACTGATGTGAAGAAGTCCTACGTTCATGCCCTGAATGCGACTTTGTGTGCAACCGAACGTACACTCTGCTGTGTGCTTGAGAACTACCAGACTGATGATGTACGTCATGACTCTGACCCACATGCTGCTGGTGATGATACTGATAATGTTTTAGGGTATTATTGTGCCGGAGCCTTTGAGAAAGTATATCCCGGGCGCTCCCGAATTTATCCCATACTCTAAAGAGCTGCCGAAAGATAGTACTTCCAACAAAAACAAAGCCAAGCAGACTACAAAGGCTACAAGTGGTGCAGATGAGACTGCGAAGAAATTGGAAGGCCTTCAGGTTTAAAATCTAGCAGTTAAGTTTTAGTTTAGACGAGATCAATTAGCGGGTCATTGGCTGTTATATGAGCATCTCGATTAACCAAGCACAAAAAGATGAAAGCTGTAGAAGCGAGATCCTAGTGACCTGGGTCTAAAGACCATTGTTATTGCAGTTATAAGCCATGGCAATTGATTGATATGGAATGCAAGGTGCTAATCTATGAATTTATCGTTTGGCCTATCGCTTATCCTTCTAAGAATATTTTACAAAATATGGCGCCTCTCACGGTCCAAGTGTACACTGTATACGTAGTACAGGGTAGATAGAAAGAAATCATGAGATGATTTGTGTGGATACGGATTAAGAGGGGATGTTTCGGCCCCGCTGTTGCTTGCCCCTCCACAAGTAACTAGTTAACTAACTACTGTGCCATTTGATGACTCAAACAGATTATAACGCCAGATGAGGCGTTAGTCACAAAGAATGTGGAACGCCTCTCTTCAAGTCCGGTTCCGGAGGTTTTAAAATTTAGAACCCCTCTCCTTGTCACTTTGGGTCTTACTGTTCACTCTCATTAGATTTTCTGATATACCATCACAATTTTTTGCCCTCTATTTTCTAGCACACCAGAATACTACTCACTCTTTATTTTCTCATACCAGGTCTCACCAAATGGCTACGTCTGCAAGGGACATAAATGCCCGAGAGGGATCAAATCTCAACCCTTCACAAAGCTTGAATTTCTCTACCTCTCCTACCGCTTCTTTCCAGTCTGCTCCATCCAGCCATGGTGGCTCGGCTTTTGGAAGCCGTACGATACCTCTAGCAAATGCAAAGCATTTGAAACCGTTCGCCACGGAGGATATTAAGGTCTTGCTTCTGGAAAACGTCAACCAAACGGGTAGGGACATCCTTACCAAACAGGGCTATCAGGTGGAATTTCTTAAATCTTCCCTTCCGGAAGATCAGCTCATTGAGAAAATTCGGTTAGTAGTATCGTATTTGCTTCAGCTTTGGTATCTGTCTGACTTGCCTGCCCCGATGAACAGAGATGTACATGTGATTGGGATTCGATCGAAGACCAAGCTGAGTGCTCGTGTTTTAAAGGAAGCTCGGAATCTCATTGTTATTGGTTGTTTCTGCATTGGAACGAACCAGGTTGATCTACAATTTGCAGCTGAACATGGAATTGCGGTCTTCAACTCACCGTTTAGCAACTCCCGTAGTGTTGCAGAATTGGTTATAGCTGAAATCATTGCTCTTGCCCGTCAACTGGGTGACCGTTCCAATGAGATGCATAACGGCACATGGAACAAAGTGAGCAACAAGTGCTGGGAAATTCGCGGAAAGACCCTTGGTATTTTCATGTTTCTGCCATTAATTGCTGTAGGCTAATGCTCCTGTCAGGTATAATCGGATATGGCCATATTGGCGCTCAACTGTCTGTTCTAGCAGAGGCTATGGGCATGTCAGTTATTTTCTACGACGTAGTGAACCTGATGGCATTGGGTACTGCTCGCCAAGTACCAACCCTTGAGATCCTCTTGTCTGAGTCAGACTTTATCACGTGCCATGTTCCTGAGCTCCCAGAAACACGGAACATGATAGGACAACGCCAGTTTGAGCAAATGAAGTCTGGTAGTTATTTGATAAATGCCAGTCGGGGAAGTGTTGTGGACATTCCTGCTCTAATCCATGCAATGCGGTCCGGGAAAGTGGCGGGTGCTGCTCTCGATGTCTATCCCAATGAGCCAGCTGGAAATGGTGATTATTTCAATCAAAGCCTCAATGACTGGGCAACGGATCTCAGGGGACTTAAGAACTTGATCCTCACGCCACATATTGGAGGTAGCACAGAGGAGGCGCAGCGTGCGATTGGCGTTGAGGTCGCAGAAGCCTTGGTGAGATATGTTAATGAAGGCACAACACTGGGGGCCGTAAACCTGCCGGAAGTTGCTCTGCGGTCCCTGACGATGGACGAACCCGACCATGCCCGAGTGAGTACACAAACATGATCCTTACCATTGAATAATGGCTAATATTGTTGGAATAGGTCATCTTCATTCATCAGAACGTTCCGGGTGTTTTGCGAAAAGGTAGGCTTCTTTTGACAAAGCCGGACTAATGCGTACTTTGCTGATGGCCTCCAGTTAATGAGATCCTTGGCGATCACAATGTTGACAAGCAAATGACCGATAGCAGAGGCGATGTATGTTGTTATGTATTGACACTTCCATACAGGGCGAGGCTGACCATATTAGGTGGCCTACTTGATGGCCGATATTAGCAGTGTCGACAACACGACAATCAAGGACTTGTACGAAAGGCTTGAAAGCCTCGGATGTACGAAATCTCTTTCTTCGATATCACATTATGACTTTCCTGACTGATCATTCAACCTAGCTCGAATTATGACGCGTATCTTGTATTAAAGCACCCCTCTCTTGTGCTTATATCTATGCCTAAGAGGTATAGGCAGGCAGGTCACTACCCGTTCTTCGAAAGGAATTAGAAACGAAGGGGAATCACAAAACAATTGCGAACCTTGTTCATTTGTTATGCGGCAGAGGTCCCTCAACGGCTCTCGTCCAAGGAAGCTGTCAGAACAAATTTTTCTTGAGTTTTGATTCGAACCTGTGATACGCTAGCTAGCTATTCACGGCTCTATTACTCTGACTTAAGATTTCTTCGTGCGCATTGGACATGAGAAAACAAGTTAGTCTACGATTGCCAGCCTGTTGGCAGAACATTCAACACCGCTACGCCTTTTCTTTTCCTTTTTCTTTTTCTTTTTCTGGTTTTCTTTTTGTTTTCTTTCCGGCACTGGCTTGCTTTCTCGCCAGTGTGCACGAAAGAGATATAACCACTTGAACCTATATTTGAACACATGCTATATAGATAGATTTGATGCCAAATAGTTGATTATTATGTGTGCTACTAATTCTAAGCCCACATGTCTCTATTTCAATGACCTGCGGTGTGCTTGTTCTGCGACCAGTCAATGACAAAATATCGCAGCATTAGTAGCGATTGCAGGGTCGTGGTAGCACAGGCGAATCCAACTCATCTGCGATGGAATTTCCTAGCTGCATCACGACCACCTTCCCTGGAGCCGGGACTACGGCTCCTTCGTCTTGACAGGTTTTCTCGCGAATAGTCTCTTCTCACAGGTTGGTAGGCCGAGTCACCATTATTGATGTCACGCCGATCCGTATTGTAGCCCCAATTGGGGTCTCTTTCCCAATGACGTTCGCCTCCGCCAGCATAGCTTGGAATATAGGAGTCTAGATTTCCTTCAGACCGCCCTCGAGCCTGGTGGCTTCTGTCGCGTCCCAATTTACCTATGCTACCAGAAGCCCATGTCTGGTGGTTTGACGTCGGCGGACGAGGTGGCAACCCGCCTTTATGCCAGGCTCCTTGGCTGAGATCCTCCCCACCTGTCCTTGACTGAGCTGCGTGCATCTCGCAGTTACGATTGTCAACAGAGCGTTGTGAAGGGACTCCCGGAACCCCGTTGTTCCAAGTACCACGGGCTGCATTTGGAAGACGACTATTTCGACCGTCGATGCCTGTTCTGTTCCCTGAACCACTTGCCCGATTTCCGTTCGGGCCACCGATCCCTAAACCACCACCCGCAGGTGCCGGTGGCATGGGTGCCTTTTGTCCACGGAATCTTCTCCTATCAAGCTCATGGGAATCTTCAAAGGACGGTAACTCTCCAGGCCGTGCAGGCAGTGGCGGGGTTGAAAAGTAAGGATGTTTCAGAGCATCGATAGCATTGATTCGTTTCCGCCAGTCGAGCTTTAAAAGCTCACTAAGCAAGGATATCGCTATAGGACCTTGCCTGATAAAAGGTTAGGCATATATTCGAAGTTTATTATTCACCTGGTCTTTTCGAGGAGGGTGGACGATACTCTTTGAATACTTCACGTAAGTTGCCCGGTCTGTTACCAAAATTCTTCACTCCCTCACATCCTGGTAGTGAAGACCACCCTGGCATGGTCTCTTCTGTAGGCGAGCCTACAAGACTAAAAATCATTTGCGCCTGGTTGAGGTCGCTATTCCCGGCAAGGATCGGTTTTCCTTTGAACATTTCCCCGAAGACGCATCTGCGAGTGTCAGACTAACATCACCACGAGAATTAAGATATTTCATTTACCCAACGCCCCACATGTCGATGGCTGTCGTATAACGCCGGAGTTGAAGAAGTAATTCCGGAGGGCGATACCATCGGGTTACAACGAGCGTAGTATAATCCCTTCGTGCTTCTCCACCCCCTCGCCCAGGCTGAGGAGGGGCCTCTTCATATGGTCGGGCTAATCCGAAATCAGCGATTTGAAGTATGCCTCTATTGCTAATAAGTAGGTTGGCAGCTATCGGTAGTTAGTTAGAGAGGCTTTGTTATGCTTAACGGTTCACCGACCCTTCATGTCTCGATGTAATATACGATTCTATAACACGTTAGGGCAATAATCTTCAGTATTTCTCGAGAACTGATACCTCATGTAAATATCTGAGACCTTCAAGAAGTTGAAGCATATAACACTTGATTTGAGCTTCAGTGAACTGGACAGCAGGGTTCTCTAGGAGGCCCGAAAGATCGTGTTCCATATATGGTGTTACCATGTACATGCTTGGCTTTTTACGTCCCTCCCCTGTGCTGCTATAAGTACGTTTCATTTTGCGATGGGATTTGGTACTTACCTTTACTCCGTTCGACTGCCATTTCTTTGAGATGTAATATATTAGTGTGAGATAACATCTTCAGGAGTTTAATTTCACGGAGTGCGGTTATGGGGAACTTCGAGGGCATCGGTTAGCATATACCCACGCGGTGATCCCAGTCGGTCATCTTACCCCGTCTCTCTCATTGTGCATGAGTATCTTCTTGAGCGCAACGACAGTATTGTCCTTTTTCGATCTCGCTTTGTAGACCTCACTGTAGAAATTCAGTTAAAGGACACATTGTAAAGGCTTCCTGAAACCCACCCAAAAGTACCCTCACCAAGCTTACCCAAGAATTCAAAATCACGTATGCTAGTGCACCCATGGAACCGGTTGTTGCCATTGCTGTCTCTCTCGAGGGACACTATGACCATTTTCTACCCACACTCTGCTTCTCACCAAAGCGATCATATATGTGAAAGAATGGTGCCAGTCGTGCAATATCGGGTCAAATGGGAGGCTCTATTTCCCTAATACAATGCTCGAGCCAAGTTGCAATACGGGTATGAGCTGTTAGCGTCAAGGCAAAGGCGAACGTCGCGCGTATTCTTGACCACTGCGGTCCTATTAAAGCAGGAAACTCGGCTAGGAGCCACACGTCTCGAGAAACTGTGGTGTTAAATTCAAATAAATATATGGCTTGTATCAGAAAGAAAATCAGTGAATACCTAAGAATATCAGGTTGATGGCAGAAAGGCTGTTGAAGACTGTTTCAAGATAGTATGAGGCGTGATCCCTTAACTCGTGTCAGAGCCACAGCTATCATAGTGCTCTGATGATTCAAAATATGAATCTACTGGATGACGATCATGATCTCACTAGTTGAGATGTACGAAGGAAAATAGATTGATCGTCCATGACTTCAAACCATACCGGCTGTTACCTGGAGCCGAATTCTTGGTATCACGTGATGATATAATGCTTCACTTCTAATCTAGTCCGTACCGATCCCTCACTGCTATTGATTTACCTTTCTTCGAACCCTCAAGCCTGATACATAAGTCCTTAGACGGCAGGAAAGTATGGCGCTCAAATTCTCTATCACCTTCTTCTAATTTCATTCATCGGCTGGAACTGACTTGTAATGTGCAGATATGGCTGCAAACCACCCAATTCATATTCATCCCGCTCGACCTCTCTATCGTTTCACCGCGACTGCATTGGGAGCTAGCATGTGGTTCTTTGTACGAATCTCACGCGACTTTATAGCGAATATTGCTAACCATAACATTTCTACTGGTCTATAGCTGATGTACAGAGCGAAGAAAGACGGCCCTGCTTTGTTGGGTTGGAAGCATCCATGGGACCATTAGTTGCCGAATATTCTCAGACCTGAATAATGGTCTCGTTTGTTGAGATTGGAAGACAATCGATTTTCTTGAGGACTACATCAGATATCTTAATCGAGTTGTTAACACAAAAGGTTCGCGCTTTCTGTCGTCATTAAAGGAACCATCCAGTCAGACTCTTAAGTCAGGATGACGACTATATATTTGAAATATTAGGAGATATGCAAAAGTGGAAGTTCATCTACCCTTGCATTTCCTCGAGTAGTACCTTGTACTGGCGACGCTTTTTGGGGTGATCTGGTCGCAACGCCGTGTACACGCGCCCTAGCAAATGAGCCAATCTAGGAAAAAGATCCTTTTCTGCCAGCCAAGAGAACAAAAAGCTCATGACAGCAAGTGTCAGCAACCACCACGCAAAACTTTCCGGCAGGTACGTCAATTGTATGACCTGCTTCAGCCATTTTGAGGGTGTGAACAGCATGTAGCAGGAGATCATCAAATCCACAATTATCATAGAGAGGAATGGTTCTAGACTCAGTTAGTAATATAGCCAACCATGCATGCCTGGGGGACTGACTGTTAGAGCTCATCGGTCTTCTGAAAGGCGGTCCGACGCTAAGGACAACACTTGACAATATGTATTGAAAACAGGAAAGCAGGAAAAGCACGGTGTTCTCGGAATTCTCAATGTTGCTTTCCTCTAGATCTAGCTGAGGGGGTTGAAACCTACGTAGGTTAGTGATTGTCTTGAAAGCAAGATTGAGCTAAGGAAAAGCCATGTTACCCACCATGGTTGCGATTTAACAGTCTCGAATGCGATTAATTGAGTCACGATGCATATTGTTATCTGACCTAGCAGCGGGATTAAGACTTTGCGTGATACAAGATCAGCAGTGGGCCGTTTCCGCGATAGTACAGGGTTTGGCTTGGTCCATCCCACTGGTGAGCAGAGTCAGTCTCAAAATCACCGGTGATTGACATCCTTGATCCAGCCAAGAGACTTACTAAAAATCGCTATCGGTAATATGAGGCATAAGTCGATATAAAGGAACTTCATACTTTGTTAGCAGGGTATATTTTGCATCTTAGGAACCTTGAGATTCACCTGAAAGTCACCAAGATTTGACCCTGAAGCATATAAAAAACTGACAGTTGAAAACTGAATTGCTGAATAAAGGCTCATGTACTTGAAGCAGCAAAAGCTTGTGACCAAGGCGCCTCGGCCTTCCCTGTCTCCTTGTTAGACAACCAATGCAAAGTAAGGTATCTCAATCCGAATGTTTGTTACCTGATTAGCGTCGGAACACAGGATATGTCAAAGCGGCGGCTGGTGAATGGAGCAGCAACTGAAGCTTCGGCATCTGATAGGGAGACCCCGACATCAGCGGCTTTTAATGCCCCGCAGTCATTAGCACCATCGCCACAAAATCCGCAGCAATAGTCTAGTGATTGAAGCTTCTCCACTAGTTCATGTTTCTCATCAGGTGACATTCTCGCGAAAACTTTTCCACGCACAAGTACCTGCAAATAGTGTTAAATGGAAGTAAAAACGATCTCGAAACGAAAAAAGCCAACTCATAATCGTAGACTCATGCCGGTATACACACCCTTTTGATAAGCAATTCGCTTCCAAAGTCTACGATCCACCTAAACATCTCGCCACTAATGGCGAGAGAGTAATGGCCGAGGCTGCAGGCATTGCCTGGTATAGATAAGTCTACAGCCGTCGAATCCAGTGAAGGCTTCTCGCCGTTAGCCATCTTCCACTCTTAATTCCACGGTAAATGAAGATACCATACCATAAGAGTACTCGGGCTAAGCTTCAATGCTGGATTATCTACACTTTCCCAGCAAAGACAGTCGTCGGACACGTTATCAGGAGGATGGCCTGGTGCAAGGTTAACAAAGGCAACGACGCCTTTCGAGGACAGCTGACCTTGTACGAAGCGAGGAACGAAGCATTGTTCGTCTCCACTAATTAGACCGCATTCGCGAGCAACACTTACTGCAGTCAATATGTTATCACCGGTACACATTATGTTGCGTATCCCTGCTTTGTTAAGCTCAGCCACAGTTTCAGCCGTGTTTGGCTTCAGTTTGTTCTCGAAAATGATAAAGCCGAGAAACTCCAAATCACATTCAGCATCAGCACGGGCCATTTTCTGGACTCTCATCCAGCTTAGTTTTGGCTCATATTTCGCCGCACAAGCGATGACACGATAGCCCTTGTGAGTATAGTTACTCAGGAGCTCGTCGAAATCGTGAGGTACTAGAGAGTCATGCGTTAGCTTCAAACTAGGACCTAAGCAGGTGCAAACTTACAGCTGCTCGGGAGACATATGGCCTTCACACTTTCCGGTGCACCTTTCACGAAAGTGCTAGCACCAGTGTCACCATACTGACGCACAATAACACTTGCGCGACGGAGATGTGACACGAATTCAAAGGTACGCAAAATGCCGAGTTCTAGCGGTGCCTAGGTTTGCATGGTCAGATCCAACCAAATCATAAGCATCAAAAGAGTGTACCGACCTCTATTTTATGCCGCTGATAAGCACTGGGGTGGTTTTCACTAAGGGGTGGTCTCGCAATTGACGGTAATATCGTCTCGGAATCCGCTTCTTCAGTATGGCTCCCACCTTCTTCGAAGGACCAACCGGTGAACTGAAACATTTTCACATCTAGGGGGTCCCCAAGAAGTTCGCCGTCCACAACTCTCAAAGAGTGGCATGTTGCCATGGTGTAAAGGGTGTTGTTGTACCTGCTCATATCTCGAATGCTATCCGTATATGATGATGTCGGGGAAGCGAGACACAGCTTAGGGAGCAGGTCGGAGAATCTGCGAACTGATAAGCAAATGTATGAAGTGTAGTGTGCATGCATATAAACCTTCTATTGTGGTCCACGATCCGCACCCCTAGTACATCCAGTCCATCTTCCGTGAGGGTACCCGTCTTATCGAAACAGATCACATCTAGCTTGCCCCCTACATTGACTCTGTTGAAAAGCTTAACATAGTCTCCTTCGAAACTTGGTATATGCTCATACCTTTGCGGACTGATGCAATATATTTTATGTGCCTTAAGCCGTGAGAGAGCGAAATTGGTTCCAATGCTCAGCGTGGCCGGCAAGGCCGGAGGCACAACGATCGTAATCAGGTCGAGTGCTCTAACAATGATCAGATGCCATGAAAGCTGTAACTTGTTAGTCACAGGAGCTCTTGCTTGGCATTCAAGCTATTCTTACACCGAGGCGAATAAAATTGATGAACGAGGCCACGAAACCTAAAATCGCAATGATAGCCATAACGGATATATATCGGAATGAGTCCCGGTAAAAACTAAAGCCGGAAGGCTTTGGGAAGAGCATCGATCGAACAAGGGCACCTTTCGTGGTCAGGAATCCTGTTCGCACAACCACTGCCAAAGCAATAGCTTCATCATCATCAACACCTTGGGGACGGCGTGCTCGAATAACTTTCGTACCGCTGAACAAGAAATGTCTTGCAAGAGCGGGATGGATTGAGGGTGCACTCAAATTTAGGTATTTAAGGGCATCGTCTGTCAGTGGGACTTTAGAGACAGGGACAGATTCACCTGTACCTCCATTAGATTCTCATCAAAACCCTGGAGAGATGATATTCGAACCTGTGAGCATGCTCTCATTCACAATACAGTCACCGGATAACAAGATACAGTCACAAGGGACATGGTTCAGGGAGGGGTCAGAAAATTCGTAAACATCACCCGGGACAAGCTCCCGAGATGGGACTGATCTCCCTGTTTGGAGAAAAGAATGTTAGTCCTGCAGGAAGGTTGTTGGTTTCAAGAAGAATGACTTACAAAACCCATTCCTAAGCACACGGATATCGCACTCAAACAGTGAAATATCCCTCAAGCGGTTCATTGTCTAAATAAAGTTAGCACACCACCACATTGGTTTGACAAGACAGCATACTGCTTTGGTTTCAATTATAGTAGCACTTATACTTATCACAGAGATCAGAAAGATGCAGACAGCATAATAGTAATACTGGTCAAGCGACCAGAGGACAAGGCTAGCAAGTTGGAAAATATAGAATGGGTGGAAAGCCTAAAAAAGTGAGCACGCCAATCCACCATTTAACGTCGGTGAACATGTACCTCATCCATAAGAAGCTGGATAGCAGTTTTCTGCTGGATATCAATGAGATTCTTGCCAAACACCTGTTCGCGGCTATCACGGTCATCGGCATCCAGTCCAGCTCTCATCCCTTTCGCGTTCTTCCAGGAAGGGTCTTTCCAGCCACCGATTAGACAGAACTTGTCATCGGCTGGGTGGTAGATAAGACGAAGATATCTGTAATCAATGTACCGTAACTGAGAGATTGTAGGGTCGTTGTCCTCGTCATAGAACTCGTAGTTAGGACTGAAGACTGTGGAGAGAGGACGACCGTATACTTCAGTATGGACCGTATGAATGTCAAGTTGATTCCATTGATCCTAGGCCCAGTTCAGTGATAAGGTGTCATAATTCCATACGCCACATTGCTTACCTCAATTACAACCCATTGACAGCTTTGAAGAGGGGTTGGCATCCCCATCAAACGGACTCGGTACTTTGGAAACCAACGAAATAGGAGGTAGAATACCCCGAGGGACAAGAGGCAAGAGAGATAGTACAATAGCAGGCCGGTGGGACTCGTCGAAAACCCCGCAATCACGATGGTCAAGTCTTCCGAAACGATGTGGACTTTTTGACTTACCCTTTGATCGCCCCTATGGCAATAATCATGCGACGAAGCTGATAGAGACCTTCGTAGAAGGGGGTCTTGGACGGAGTCTCGAGAAAAGGACGGACGCTTAGAGGATCTAATTGACTCGTTCGGCTCAATATCAGATAAGTTGTCAACGTCACTTTCGGCATCTATGGCAGCTTCATTTGGCCAGTCCGGGTGATCCTGATCTTCCTGAAAATAGGTGAAGCTTGTGGTGGAGTCCTTGCGATTCCGGCGGTGGGAAAAGGAAACAATGCTGGAAGGGATACTCTCTGAGATCGGTCCATCATATATCTAATATAGATAGTTACGTTTGTTGTTCCACAAGCTTCGCCGGCATCTGGACGCACCTCGTTGCGGGCCATTTCAACGTCTGAAACAACGCTATAGCTGGAAGACCATCAGCAAGACCCACCAGGAGGGTATTGTCTAGTGTGAAGAACCTGCTTCTTATTGAGTTGCGGCGACGATCAGTCCCAATTGGAAACATGGGTGACCGAGCCTCCAGTGGCGGTTGTACATCACGCTCCATCTTGACAATGATACCTCCTATGCGCTTTTGAAGGTCTGTTCGACTCCGTGTAGAGGTCGATTTTTGTTGACACCGACAGGCGATTGACGGAAATTATAATGATTTATTTGATTCTTCGCATGCCGAGAACGTCAATCTCCTAGCGCTGAACACTCAGAGTTAAGAAATGCGTAGGATGTGTAATTTCCGATCTGTATTTGTGCGTGGACTAAAGTGATGGTCCGAAGATGCTCTTTATGACCGGCTTGACGTCTTATCTCCACGTGACTATCTAGATGGTGGGATGTTGTCACAGTACGCATCGAATTATGAATCCTTCCTCGATTGCATACAGATTTCACTGGCTGTAGATCAATTTTAGACTCAAGTCAGCTAAAGTTTTTTTTCTGTCTTAATAGTAGCTAGAAAATAGCGAACAGCATAGCTCATGATGGCCTGTATCGAGCAGATGAAATTCTTCAGATTCTACACGTGTAACTTTTTCTCATTATATGTCTCCTGCTCTTAGAGAGTCGGAGCGGAGGTAAGGAGCCTTAGCTTGCCTATAACCTGCAGGATTATGGCCGCGTATGGCTATGTTGAAATGATATATCATTCTGGTGTTTTCTCAATTGCTCGTCGCCCAAACCCCCCTCCGCTAACTATTTCTGCGGCTCTTGGATATTACCATCATATACAGTAAGAAAAACCCCATAGAGAGTTGCGTCGTGTATGTGCGTTTTGACGAGGTAGTGTAGACTACTCCGTGTGAATGTTGGAAAGCTAAGAAACAATGGTAGATTTCCACTGTATAGTATGGTAATCTGGAAACAGAAGAGCATGGTTTCGAGGCTATTAAATACTCTAAAATATAGGAGGCTACCGCATATATATTGAACTATTGATTAAAGAAATAGATAATAGTAAATGCCTTGGAATGACAGAGCATATAGCCTGCCGACACCAGTATTTGATACTGTATTGTTGGGAGCTTTTGAAAAGTTCTCAACAGCCAGCGCCCCCGTCCCGCCAAGCCCCTCGGCCCAAGGGCGCTAAGGATCCCACCAAGCCAGTATTATTCCAGACCTCGCAAAACGTATCAAATTCTTCCTTAACTCTCTTCGCCAGACCCCTCTACCAAACCATCTCCTCATTCCCTCCCCCACCCCCTAAACAGCACTGTCACGATGTCTGAGCCCATCAGGAATAAGAAAGCGGACTTTCCAGTGGCTCCGTAAGAATCCCTTCTTCGAACTACCAACATCTCAAACGTTTTGGTATGGTATGCTCTTTGATTTCTGACGAGATATGACGCTTGCAGGACACCACAAAATACCCCGGCCAACAATGCTCCTATTTCTTCTCATGCCCAGCAACCTGGAATTGCTAGTATCAAAGAAGGTAAGTTTCCTCGTTTCCTTCAAGATACTTTCTCATACAAACCAAATATAGAGTCTCTTGACCACGCTACGGCGGCTTCCCTGTTTGCACGCAACCCCGGGCTCGTTTCCATGATTCAGGGAAAACTTGGATCCCTAGTTGGCCGCTCTTCGGGTTACATTGAATCCTTACCCGTGTCAGTCCGCCGGCGCGTTGCTGGCCTGAAGGGCATCCAGAAGGAGCACGCTAAATTGGAAGCCCAGTTTCAGGAAGAGGTACTGGAACTTGAGAAGAAATATTTCGCGAAGTTTACTCCGTTGTATCAGAGGCGTTCCACGATAGTCAACGGAGCCGCAGAGCCTACGGATGGTGAAGTCGAGGCGGGACAGGGTGATGAAGAGGATGTTGACTCTAAAGATGAGGCTGAAGCCACCAAAGAAGAGGACCAGGAGTCTCAAATCGCCGGCATACCTGAATTCTGGCTCTCAGCTATGAAAAACCAGATTTCTCTTGCAGAAATGATCACCGAACGAGATGAAGAGGCTTTGAAACATCTCGTCGATATCCGTATGGAATACCTCGATCGCCCAGGCTTCCGTCTCATCTTCGAATTCTCGGAGAATGCCTATTTCACAAACAAGACTATTTCGAAGACCTACTACTACAAGGAAGAAAACGGCTACGGCGGTGATTTCATCTACGATCACGCCGAAGGCACTAAGATCGATTGGAAGGCTGATAAAGATCTCACTGTCCGCATTGAGAGCAAGAAACAGAGAAACAAGAGTGAGTGTCGAAATAGCATTTATCGAATGTGCACTGTAGCTGACATCGCCTAGACACGAAACAGACTCGGATTGTCAAAATTACCGTCCCCACGGAGTCATTTTTCAACTTCTTCTCCCCCCCTCAGCCCCCGACTGACGACGATGATACCGTTGCTACTGATATCGAAGAGCGACTGGAACTTGATTATCAGCTCGGTGAAGACATCAAGGAGAAGCTTATCCCCAGAGCCATCGACTGGTTCACGGGAGAGGCCCTTCAGTTCGAAGAGTTGGGTGACGACATGGATGCCGATGAATACGACGAGGAGGACGATGAAGACGAGGATGAAGATGATGAAGACGATGATGATGAGAGGAGGTCCGACCGGGACGTCGATGATGACTCCGACGAAGAGGTGCGCATTAATTGATTATCGTTTGCTTATACCGTCTGTCCGTGCTGACACCAGAACAGGATGGCGCCTCAAAGCCGAAGAAGGAGGCAGCGGAATGTAAACAGAGCTGAGAACGTTCAGCATGGCTCAATAAATCAAGCTCGGAGCATGCATGAACCAGTTCATGACGCCTAGCCCTCAAGTGGTGTTTTTTTTTTCTTTTTTTTCTTTTTTTGTTATTTCAATGTTTTTCGCCTTTACTTTATCATATTTTATTATTTATTTGTCACTGCTCCACCCCTCAGTCCTTTTGACTTGTCGTTTCCGCCTAGTAATATTGCCTCAGAATGTCGTCCCAATGTCTTGGGAAGCGCCTTTGCGGTGCAATTGATCCCTTGGCGTTTCCTTGTTCAAGGCATTGTGCGCATCGCTAGTCTTGTTGCGTGACACATTTTCTAATCACTTTCTATCCATATATTGTGTCCAAGCAACGATTGTGCAGTATGAACATACTCCAGACTTGAGAAGTACACAAGAGGTCGTATCTCCGCTTGCTCCCTTGATGGCCATGTGTGGGAAAAGAAAAACAGCACTTCATGACCAGAGTATCATAATTCCCATAGTTGCTAATGAAAGCGCTGATATCTTCCCTTTTTCCAAACCAGCGAGTTCATACTAGACGGACGAAAAAGCTGCTTTTACCCCCATAGTGGGTAGCATGGTGCATGGGTCATAGTAATGAGTGGTCCGTCTTAGCTAATCGCCAGTGTTTCTTCACCGCCTGTTCTGTCACCATCTTCTGTTGATGTAAGTAACACTGTCTATGCTCTGCAGAGCATCTGCCACAACTTGGACTCGCAGCTGCATATGAGCTAGAAAATTGTCCGTTTCAGTCATTCTTGTATATGTATGTTTCTGGGGTAGAGTAGATAACCCCTTAAGAGTTTCCGATCATCATCAATAACTAGATAGCAGTAATAGATGATGTTCCTGCCTTCTGGCTCTTGGCGCTGGTGCTGACAACTGTGGGGATCGCGTCGACAAGTGGCGCCGCTCTCCAGGCGCCGCCTCAGGGGTTGCGGCTCGGTAACGCCAGCTGTTAGCCAGTTCAGTAATTTCTCCCTAAAGCGAAGCATGATGCTTTCTTCTGACTTATAATCAAAAATAGAGCCCGTCGCTACCACTACCAGACGGGGAAATCATTTCTCGAACTGCTCTAATTAGTTGTGCTTTTCCCTTACCTCCTCACTAGATGCCTTTTAACATCGATCATTCGAACAGATCCTCCGAACGTCCTGCATAGGTTGCTTTCTCCGGTCACGTCGATATATAGAGAGACAATATATCTACAGACTTGAACGCAATGGCTCACAATTACGAGGTCGGAACAAGGGCTTGGCAGCCTGATCCGACCGAGGGATGGGTCGCATCTGAAGTCAAAGAGAAGTTGGTTGATGGGGACAAAGTGCAGCTAGTCTTCTTGATAGAAAATGGAGAGGTTCGTACCAGATTATTTGCCCGACTATTTCGGATGGAAGGTATGATATCGACTAACAGGTTTATGTGAGAAGACAAGAACTCTGGAAACAACCCAGGCCGAGTTACAGGTAGACAACAATCCAAAACTGCCGCCGTTGATGAATCCTGCCATGCTCGAAGCCAGCGAAGACCTTACAAACTTGTCTCATCTGAATGAGCCAGCTGGTGGGTGTGTCTCCGAACCAAGATTACGGTGGTTACTGAGTCCAGTCCAGTTTTGCAGGCCATCAAGCTGCGTTATGCCCAGAAGGAAATATACACATATAGTGGCATCGTTCTTATTGCTACCAATCCCTTTGCTCGGGTCGATTCACTTTATGTCCCGCAAATGGTGCAAGTATATGCTGGAAAACATAGGGCATCTCAGGCGCCACACCTTTTTGCTATCGCTGAGGAAGCGTTCGCGTAAGAGCGACACCTTTTCTCAAAACATGTGTGTTTGCTTACGAAATGTGTTTAGTGACATGCTACGCGATGGAAAGAATCAAACGATTGTAGTCTCTGGTGAATCAGGTGCCGGGAAAACGGTCAGCGCAAAGTACATTATGCGTTATTTTGCAACCCGCGAGTCTTCAGATCAACCCGGAAAGTATACTACCAGTCGAGCAGATGCAATCAGCGAAACTGAAGAGCAAATTCTGGCTACTAATCCTGTCATGGAAGCTTTCGGAAATGCCAAAACCACCCGCAACGATAATTCCTCGCGGTTTGGAAAGTACATTGAAATAATGTTCGATGACAGGACCAATATCATCGGCGCAAAGATACGAACTTACCTTCTTGAACGATCTCGTCTTGTCTTCCAGCCATTGAAAGAGCGCAATTATCATATATTCTACCAACTGGTTGCCGGTGCCACTGACCCCGAAAAACAGGAGCTTGGCCTCACATCCGTTGAGGATTTCGATTATCTTAACCAAGGTGGTACACCGACGATTGATGGTGTTGATGACAGAGCCGAATTCAATGCAACAAAGAAGTCCCTGAGTACTATAGGGGTCCCGGAAGGAACGCAGGCGGAAATTTTCCGTGTGCTAGCTGCTTTGTTGCACCTTGGGAATGTCAGAATAACCGCCACCAGGACAGATTCGAGTTTGTCTTCCTCGGAACCTTCACTTGTTCGAGCTTGTCAATTGCTTGGAATTGACGCCAACGAATTCGCGAAATGGATAGTCAAGAAACAATTAATTACACGAGGGGAAAAGATAACGTCCAATCTAACCCAACAACAGGCCACAGTGGTCCGGGACTCGGTTGCTAAATTCATTTATTCTAGCCTATTCGATTGGCTTGTTGACAGGATCAACCAAGGTCTGGCTACCGATAGTATTTTGAACAAGTTCAAGTCTTTTATTGGGGTCTTGGATATTTACGGGTTCGAACATTTTGCGAAAAATTCCTTCGAGCAGTTTTGCATCAACTACGCCAATGAGAAGCTGCAGCAAGAGTTTAACCAGCACGTGTTCAAACTCGAACAGGAAGAATATGTGCGCGAGCAGATAGACTGGACGTTCATTGACTTTTCGGATAACCAACCTTGTATTGACCTGATTGAAGCAAAATTGGGTATCTTATCCCTTTTGGATGAAGAATCTCGGTTGCCTATGGGCTCGGATGAGCAGTTCGTGACCAAGCTGCACCACAATTTCGCCGCAGATAAGCAGAAGTTCTACAAGAAGCCACGTTTTGGCAAATCCGCGTTTACGATATGTCATTATGCAGTCGATGTGACTTACGAGTCCGACGGCTTCATTGAAAAGAACCGGGACACTGTCCCAGATGAGCATCTGGAGATTCTGCGTGGCTCTTCAAATGATTTTGTGAAAGAAATCTTGGACACGGCTGCAGCCGTTCGCGAGAAAGATTCGGCTTCTATTTCATCCAAACCTGTGGCTGCCCCAGGTCGAAAAATTGGCGTTGCTGTCAATCGCAAGCCAACCTTGGGAGGAATCTTCAAGTCATCATTGATTGAGCTTATGAACACAATTAACTCTACCGACGTGCACTACATACGCTGCATCAAGCCTAATGAGGCTAAGGAGTCTTGGAAATTCGAAGGGCCGATGGTCCTCAGTCAACTGAGAGCCTGTGGTGTCCTTGAGACTGTACGGATCAGTACGGCTGGATATCCTACACGCTGGACATACGAAGAATTTGCAATCCGGTACTACATGCTTTGTCACTCATCGCAATGGACGTCAGAAATCAGGGATATGTGCCATGCCATTCTACAGAAAGCTCTCGGGGATGGTACCCAGCAAAAGCAAGATAAATATCAGCTTGGTTTAACGAAGATATTCTTCCGAGCAGGCATGCTTGCTTTTCTCGAAAATCTTCGCACATCAAGATTGAATGGGTGCGCTGTTATGATACAGAAAAACCTTCGATGCAAGTACTACCGCCGCAGATATCTTGAGGCTCGTGCCTCTATCCTCACAACACAGGCTCTTATTAGAGGTTTCTTGGCAAGACAACGTGCAGCTGAGATTCGGCAGGTCAAGGCAGCTACGACGATTCAGAGGGTATGGCGAGGACAGAAGGAGCGGCGGAATTACAGCCGCATCCGTGCCAATTTCGTTCTTTTCCAGTCAGTTGCAAAGGGATTCCTTTGCAGGCAGAATATCCTCGACACGATTCATGGCAATGCAGCCAAAGTAATACAGCGATCGTTCCGTTCCTGGCGACAGCTACGCGCTTGGAGACAATACCGCAGAAAAGTGATCATTGTCCAGAACCTCTGGAGAGGAAAGCAGGCCAGGAGAGAGTACAAGAAGCTTCGCGAGGATGCTCGGGACCTCAAACAGATCTCATATAAGCTGGAGAATAAGGTGGTAGAGTTGACTCAGTACCTCGAATCTTTGAAGCGAGAAAATAAGTCACTCAACTCGCAACTGGAGAACTATGAGACACAAGTGAAGTCGTGGAGAAGCCGTCACAACGTGCTCGAGAATCGTTCGAAAGAATTACAGGCCGAAGCAAACCAGGCAGGTATTACTGCTGCTCGCTTAACTGCCATGGAGGAGGAAATGAATAAGTTACAACAGCACCATAATGATGCGCAGGCAACCATCAAGCGTCTCCAAGAAGAAGAGAAGATCTCACGAGAATCGATTCGTACCGCAAACCAAGAGTTGGAGAAACTTCAGCAGCTGAATACGGATGCTGAAAACGAAAAGGCATCCCTTCGTCAGCAGATAGTCGATCTCGAAGAACAGCTTGAGCTTGCAAAGAGAGTTGTGCCTGCAAACGGCGTGAATGGAGACCAGCAGAATGGTGGGCCCATTCAGCCGCCTGCGAGCGGCTTGATAAACCTTGTTTCTTCCAAGAAGCCGAAGCCCAAAAGGCGAAGTGCCGGTGCTGAGCGGATCGATATTGATCGTTTCAGTGGCGCCTATAACCCGAGGCCAGTGTCGATGGCCATTCCTAGCTCGGCTATGGGCCGCCAGCATTTCTCGGGAAATGCTTTCTCTCCAGGCCTGGACTCCGTTGAGGTAGAACTCGAGAACTTGTTGTCTGAAGAAGATGAGCTCAATGAAGAGGTGACTATGGGTTTGATACGCAACCTGAAAATTCCACTACCCAGCTCTACACCTCCACCTACGGAGAAGGAGGTCTTGTTCCCAGCTTATTTGATCAATTTAGTGACGTCCGAAATGTGGAACAATGGCTTTGTGAAAGAGTCCGAGCGTTTCTTGGCCAACGTTATGCAGTCAATCCAGCAAGAGGTCATGCAGCACGATGGAGAGGATGCTATTAATCCAGGGGCCTTTTGGCTTTCAAATGTTCACGAAATGTTGTCTTTCGTTTTCTTGGCCGAAGACTGGTACGAAGCACAGAAGACGGATAATTTTGAGTACGATCGTCTGCTAGAGATTGTGAAGCATGATCTCGAAAGCCTGGAGTTCAACATTTATCATACGTGGATGAAAGTATTGAAGAAGAAACTTTACAAGATGATTGTACCAGCGATCATTGAATCCCAGTCCCTCCCAGGTTTTGTTACAAGCGAGACAAACAGGTTCCTTGGGAAGCTCCTACCCTCCAACAACAACCCAGCCTACAGTATGGATAACCTTCTCAGTCTCTTGAACAATGTCTACAAAGCAATGAAGGCTTTCTATCTGGAAGAGACTATCATAACACAGACGGTCACTGAGCTTCTCCGACTTGTTGGTGTCACTGCATTCAATGACCTCCTCATGCGGAGAAACTTTCTCTCCTGGAAACGTGGTCTGCAGATCAACTACAATATCACCCGCATTGAGGAGTGGTGCAAGAGCCATGATATGCCAGAGGGTACACTTCAGCTGGAGCATCTAATGGTAAGGGGTCTATCGAGACGAAGGGATTGTGCTATTTGCTGAAATTAGCTCTATCTAGCAAGCAACCAAGCTTCTTCAGCTCAAGAAGGCCACTTTGAATGACATTGAGATTATCCAGGATATTTGTTGGATGTGAGTTTCGATCAGGTTGTTCTGCTGAAACCTCATGCAGTACTGACAGTTCTTAGGCTCTCACCAAACCAAATCCAGAAACTTCTGAACCAGTATCTCGTGGCTGACTATGAGCAACCTATCAATGGTGAAATCATGAAAGCGGTGGCCTCCCGTGTCACCGAGAAGAGTGATGTTCTCCTTCTGACACCTGTTGACATGGAAGATAGTGGCCCGTATGAGATTGCGGAGCCACGTGTTATAACAGCTTTGGAGACATACACCCCGTCTTGTAAGTGGACCACAGCGGACAGTGCGCCGAGTAATGCTAACAGTCTCTGAAGGGCTTCAAACGCCGCGACTAAAGCGGCTGGCTGAAATCGTTTCTGCCCAAGCGATGGCTCAGCAAGAGAGGCTGGAGATGACGGAAAGCGGCGCGACGATGATGGAATAGACCTTGTATATGAGCAACGGAGCACTAGCAGTTTCATAGAAACCCTGATGATGAGCGTTTGTATCGTACTAGCCATTTTGATGATATCTCTGTAAGCAGCCGAATAAAGGGACCCAAGCTGAACCACACACTACCGCCTGGTGGGGCTGCGGGGAAACAAGAATCTTAAGCCTTGAATTGAACGAACCTGCGGCACAACAGATATATATATCTAGCGCACCTCCGTCTGTCTGTTCTCCTATGTCTGCGGTCTGTCAACGTACAAGCTACTTTTCAGTTCTCTCTTGTTATTACTTCTGAGAATCTGATCGGCCTACGCAAAGATGGCCTCACTGGAAAAATTAAACTTCATCACCGGCAACAAAAACAAGCTAGCAGAAGTGAAAGCGATATTAGGGACTGTGATCGACGTTGAAAACCAAGCAGTTGACCTTCCTGAGATACAGGGTACGATAGAAGAAATTGCCCGGGAGAAATGCCGACGTGCAGCAGAAGTGGTGAGTGGCATTTCAAAGGCTGAATCTGCACAGCTCTATCACACAGACTCACCTCGGTCAGGTCGGAGGCCCGGTGTTGACGGAAGATACTGCGCTTGAGTTTCACGCCCTCAAAGGACTGCCTGGTCCATATATGTATGTATTCCTCGTCCAAGCATACTGACTCTCCTACTAATCCTATCTAGCAAATCATTTCTCGATGCCCTAGGCCATGAAGGTCTGAATAAATTGCTTGACTCATTTGAGACCAGGGCTGCGGAGGCTGTCTGCACCTTTGCCTTTTCCAGCGGACCCGGTTCGGATCCAATCTTATTCCAGGGTAGAACTGAGGTAGGATTGAGTGTCAACTCCACCTACCCTGTCAGAGGCTGACGCATTCACACAAGGGAGCTATCGTGAGACCAAGGGGCCCTGCGAATTTTGGTATGTACAGGCGACTATTAGTTACACAAATTGAGACTCACTAGCTCCTTCCAGGCTGGGACCCGATTTTTGAGCATCAAGGCAAGACTTACGCTGAAATGGACAAAGAAGAGAAGGTCAGGAAATTGTCCCATCAGTTTCTTGATCAGCCACTAATATTGGAGCAGAACCGTATCTCACACAGATATAAAGCTCTGGTCAAATTGCAAGATTGGTTGGCCGACAGACGTCCTTGATATGACCTGCAGATTTCACGATACGAATTGGTGTCGGTTTCGGCCGCCCCCTCCCCGTATCCCTTGGGATAATCGAGACCTCAAGCTCGATCATGTTTCCAAGATTGTACCCAGCTAGAAATCCTTGCGCAATTGGACTCTACATCCTCATCCCTCTCACTATTCAATTCAACCACTAATTCCTCGTCGAAGGCTTCTCGAGCTTCGTCAAGCAAAACACCAAATATCTCGGCATCTAAATTTTCCTGCAGCTTCGTTTCATTGTAGCCCCTGCAACAATAAGCTCCAATTAGGATTTCAGCTGATAGTAAAGGGGGTTGTGGCTTATGGTCCTGTGGTGTACCTTGATGCGAGACGATCATAATGAACAGCCGTAGATGGGCAGCGTAATACAACGACCAAATCGATCCATGACTTGGGGAACAGGTCGCATGCATGCCAGTCGATTAGATAGCCACCCTGAAGCACCTGATCCTCAATAGCGTCCAGGAGCTGCAATATATGTATGTTAGGTAAACGTAAGGAGTGCATGATTGAAACCAACTTATCAGGCGACTGAAAACCAGACTAAATAAGAGTTACATGAACGTACTTTGTCCTCATCCACGACCCAGGTTTGTAATTCGTGGTCATATGTCTCGTAGCAGTCTCGCTCTTTTGCGACATGGTTGATTGAAAGATGCCGCAGACCTGTCTCCTCGGCCAATTGTTCGCAATGGACGGTTTTGCCTACGCCGGGCGTGCCTGTTATTATCACATTCGGAGATGTCCGCATTATGCCTCATTGAAATGCGTGAAGTGAATTATATCTTTCAATATGCCCGATAAAGGCCGATAAAGTTTCCACAGTGAGGGGAAAATTTCCGTGGGGTAGGTAATCAGTACAGCTTCGGATTATCAAACTTCCCGATATCTCCATAAGTTACCCGGTGCTACATGATTCGTTATCTAGGAGATTGAAGCTGCCGTGCTCAGAATTATATATGCACAAACGAGTATTAGAGTACTTAGACAAGGCTAGCTCACATGTAACCCTGATAAGCATCTGCAGAGAGCTCGCCGGGAAGCTTGAGTTCTTATGATGTGGTACAATGCACTTGAAAACCCAACCTAATAACCTTCCTCAAGCATGCTGCCACTTGTTGAGCTGACAGATAACGGCTACTTGAAGATTCATGTCCATGCTGATGATGATGATGGGAAATAGCAAACTAGGCATGTTGTGATGCACGCTTCACATCGTAGGCCAAAGAACTGTTGCTGTTTTGCAGCCTGATGCCATGCCGCGCTTGTCCGCAGTGCTATTTGCTAGACGAATTGGCGGAATATTTAAGCCTAGGAGTAGTCTGGTAAGCTAACCCTGCATCGTCACCATATCGGTCGCCTCTTCCATGTAACTTACTTTAGAAGCTCAAATACCTTGTACTTTTGCAGATATGCTGTGCCTCGTCTGTATACCTTCAATACGCGTGCGGGGTCCGACGTCAGTGCCTGGGGCCCTCTGAGCCGCTTCACTGCTGGAGGTGTTCGGAACATAGGATCGAAGACTAGTATGTTTGCGCTACCACCGTCACGAATTTCGAAACCGATAATTGTCATGGAGTGTCCTGTTTATGCCCATCCACTCATTAGACATGTTACATGTCACGAAGAAAGAGGTCTTCAAACCCTGATGCTGGAAGTAAATAGGGGGCAAGTTTGTCTGCATGACTTTGTGTCCTTCCTCTAAAGCACATGATTCTCGAAAATAAGCCGCAACATTCATGTATAGTGCGTCATGTGCACGCACTTCCTTCGAGGCACCAATGCTATTTGCTTCGCACCTGTGGGTTGTTAAAGCAGCGCTTCCCGGCTTGGAGATGGAGTCTTACTGTATGCCGAGACTCGAGAACAGCGCTTGTGCCTATAAATTAATGAATCAATTCAATCCACAAGATTACATTCACGGTCATCATACCTCTGGCGTGCCAATGTACTTCCTAGTTCCTCGGATACCTCCTGTTTCGACCCTCCCTACACTATTAAAACCATTGTCCCACGCATCTTCGATCATATCTTGTAGTTGGAAGATCGTGGGTAGCTCTTGTGGGAAACGCTCATGCCCCGGAAGTTGAGTTTCTTTCATGTACGTGATTAGCATTTGGATATTCCTATACCCGCAAAATCCTCCTTCTTTGGGGATCTTCGAGATCTGATGGACCTTTGGGCTGCAAAAAAAAGCACGTTGAACGGATTTGTCCTGCTCACATAACCGAGCGAGCACCGGAATGACATCGCGCGTCTCGTTCTCGACAGCTTCGCGCCTCCGAAGCGTGCCGTCTACGGCGATTGTATTTGTGAAAATTGACATAGAACCCCTCTCTAACATTCTTCGCAGCCACGATGGCATCTGCTTTTCGTGAGCATGAGGCCCTAACTCCGTACGCTAAGTAGTATGTCAGCACAACGCGCTCTATGATGGATAAAGGATAAATGAAGATTTTCGTACACCAAGCCGCTTAGCTCTCCCATTGTGCGGTGTTTTCGTGCCACCAATCAATGACCATGATGAGAGCGTTCTATCTTCGCTGGGTAGCAGCCCGGGAGTGCCCCCTTCCAACCATTCCTGTCTCTCTGCATCATGGCTTGACACCGCACTCTCCATGTCAACAGGCAATTCCGGCTGGCATGAAGATATTTCATCAAGGGCAACTGTTTCCGCAAAATGCAAGTCGAGGTGGGCGGAGAGTTCGGTGTTGAGTACTATTTCCCCACAGCCGTGTGGACACTCGGTATAATCCCCAGAACATTCTCCCGTTCCAGTTGAGGGTGCATTTGCCGGCCGTCTGCTATGCCCAGCCTGGGTATCCACTTCAGGGTGGTAAACATCCACATGTTCTACAACACGGCTGATGCCCGGATCAGAAAATGGACAAAAGGGACATGTTGGATCACTATCATTTTTATGGTCCATGGCAACCAGTATTGTATCCGCCCCAAGAATTACCTCGAGATGAGATGAAGACAGCTTCACGCTCTTGTAAGTTATGACTGATATTTTCGTCTCACAAACAAAGAAGAGGTGATTGGGAGCCGACTAGGGCCAGAAGTAGGTAAAGGTGACAGTTGGCTAAATAGGCACCCATCGTAGGCCCACCTAAATCAACCACGGAATCATGTGCCAAGCAGCTTAGATGCGAAGATCGAGACCCAACTGAGACGACTTGCCCTAAAACGATATACAATCTACTCTTGCTTATAATTATCACTTACTCCCGACGGTGTACTTGGGTGTGGCAAAAAAGCCCTACAATGATACGAATGAAAGTGTGGCCCTGAGATCATTCACTAGTTAGCTGCCGTGCGACGATGCACTCCGTGGTATAATAAAAAACAATGCTATTACGGGTAGTATTGCCTATGGGGGGTCTAGCCTCATACCAGTGTCGGTTATTCTTCCCGACTTGCTACCAGCAAATCAAATTGTATTCCTCTTGATACTGGTAGGCATGACATACGGAGTATATTAATATCCACAAAGCATATATCACTGTTACCTAGTGCATATCACAAAGTAGATTTGATGCACCGTATAGGTAAACATGTCATCTGATGCTAAACCAGTACATAGTACTATAGTATCGATAACAGGTAGCATACTGAACGGATCTCATTCAATAGATCACACCTCGCATTTCCTATGATACAAATCACTGCACGTAGCAATGAAAAGGTGGGAATAAAGTTCAAGACCCTGAATGAGCAATACCATAGTTCGCGACCAAATAGCCGAATCAGTCACCTGTAGTCTGCTGTATATATGAAAATGATAGGCTAACATAGCACCAAGTGGTCCAATTGAAGAATTCAGAAAAGGTTTTAGTGTGATACCATTATATCGTATCTTTGGTTGTAGATGGTTGAGTCTTCTGTGAATTACGTTACGCGACGGGGGGGTGCAAACTCATAGCATAGCAGAAAAACTAGACTGCTTTGGTACTAATGCACCCATGTTCCTTGACTCAACGTTCATCTTCAATTAGTAATTATCAAGTCCCGATACTGTGTACCCGCAAAAGGAAGGCGGAGAAACGAAATGGCGAATGATCATTCGTCTCACATCTCATCGGCATGAGCTCCGCTTTCGCAACCCCGCCAGTGCACATAAAAAAGGCTGTCCCGCTACCGGAGCCAATTGCGTGGGTGTGTCATCTCTCAATTGCGAGGCTTCAACTTGCTGTTCCAGCGACCCAAAGATGGATGGCCACCAGCAAAGCCAGAAGGATCCTTTGGAATTTGCCAGGAGTGAGTCGAAAAACTCACCGGATAGCAATTGGATTGTGCAGAAGTTTGGAGGTACCAGTGTTGGGAAATTCGCATTGAACATCATTGATCAAGTGGTATTGTAAGTAAATCTGTTCTCTGTATATTCATCTAACATTCGTCGTGCTTGCTAACAACGGCTTTGAATCAGACCAAGTCTACTCGAACACCGCGTGGCTATAGTCTGTTCGGCACGGAGTAGTTCAACAAAGGCTGCAGGAACCACGAACCGGTGAGTCATAATCTCTGTGTTCAAAATCTCAGGAGATCCTTCCATATACTGTCCAGCTCTTGTCCGCAATGTTTTCACGACTTCCAGATCCCGTTAGAATAGAGTTACCATTCGGACTAACCCACTATATAACACAGTCTGTTGCGAGCAGCTCGGGATGCGGAAGACGCTCTATCACAAGAATATGCTTCCCTTGTTGAGGCAGTCCGGCTCGAACATATCCAGGTCGTTGACGATCAAATCCAGTCTAAGGTACTCAAGTCCCGGCTCGTTTCAGAGATAAACAACGAATGCGACAAAGTACTTCGAGTCTTGGAGGCTGCACAGACACTAGGAGAAATAAGCGCACGATGCGTGGATAAAGTGATCAGTACAGGAGAAAAATTGAGTTGTCGCTTAATGGCCGCATATATTCAAGACCGTGGGGTGGATTCACAGTACGTGGATCTAGCTGAGGTCATCGACTTTCCTATTTCGAATCAGGGCCTCGACCAGGACTTCTACAATAATCTCGCTGCAGCTCTTGGCCGAAAGATTCGGGCTTGTGAAAACAAAGTACCAGTTGTTACTGGCTTTTTTGGAACCGTGCCCGGGGGCCTCCTCGATCAGATTGGCCGCGGTTATACTGATCTCTGCGCTGCCCTCGTTGCTGTTGGAATAGATGCTAAGGAACTTCAAGTCTGGAAAGAGGTCGATGGAATATTCACCGCAGATCCCCGGAAGGTGCCTACTGCACGCCTTTTACCTGCAATCACGCCAGCTGAAGCAGCTGAACTGACATTCTACGGTTCGGAGGTAATTCATCCCTTCACCATGGAGCAAGTCATGCGCGCCAAGATTCCAATTCGCATAAAGAATGTTATGAACCCAAGAGGTGATGGCACCGTGATCTTTCCAGACTCTACTTTCGAATTGGAGAAGACAACTCCAGGCCATGATCCGAGGCTATTCCGTACCCGCAGCCCTAGTCTTGTGCAGCGGCCTAAACGCCCAACGGCGGTAACGATTAAGCACAAGATATTGGTGATTAATGTACATTCCAACAAACGTTCGCTCTCACATGGATTTTTCGCTGGGATATTCTCCGTTCTCGACAGGTGGAGACTTTCAATTGATTTGATCTCTACGAGTGAGGTTCATGTCTCGATGGCTCTTCATTCGGAAATGCCTCTCCTCAATGGAGTCGGGAGGGATGAATATCAAGTTATTGATGAAGATCTCAAAGGTGCTTTGCGCGACCTGCAGCGATATGGTACAGTTGATATCATCCCCGAGATGGCAATCCTTAGTCTTGTCGGGAAACAGATGAAAAATATGATCGGAGTAGCTGGCCGGATGTTTTCTACCCTAGGTGAGAATAATGTCAATATTGAGATGATTTCCCAAGGTAAGTCTCGCTTTTACCTGTGCATCCTGAACACCGACTGACGATATACCGCCCTGAAGGTGCAAGTGAGATCAACATCTCATGTGTCATTGAAGAGAGAGACGCTGATCGTGCCTTAAATATCATCCACACCAGCATGTTCACGTTCTTGGACTGAAAAGTGCTCTTTGTCTTCCCTTATACTTTTGCGTCGCGCTACCTTCCAAATTTTGTGTCCGTCTCTAACGCTATGATGTCCATTATCACCCTTATGTCTTTCCAAACTACAAGAGTCACGTGCATATAAACAGCTGTGTAGTTGATCATGCTTCTTTCCTCCCTTTCTTTCTATCTCCTTTTTTCCTTTCGTCGTTTGCAGGTCCGTCTAATGCAGATAGATTCTTGGCTTTCCTTGTATGCCCCAGGTTGTTCATGTATTGGCGTCAAGTTCATTTTCTCTGGTCTACCGGGGTTGGCTTACCTTTATACATTTTTTGATTTATCTGTCCTTTTTGTCTATTATAGAGTTTCATTTCCTCGCAATACCTCTCCCATTATTCATAAGGAATGTTTCTAAGTTTTCTTCGGCTTATTCATCACATTGCTGAATAACTAACTAACTAGTCATCTATCAGAATGGCTTAGTTATATGGCGAGGTCCGGATGTCCAGATTAATTTTGCTTCCAATAACGATCAGTATATGCATAGTTCCTGCAGGTCCAAAAAGAACGCATTTTCAGAACGGTGCGTGCGAGTTTTGTTTTCCACATTGCTCAAGGAAAACCTCGCACGCGGAAAAGAACATTGAATGATATAGTAGTAGATACAGTAGTACGGAGTAGATAATGAGATATAAGAGGAGGAGCATATCCTACAAAATGATTGTGTCCTATCAGAGATAGTTAGCTATACCTTTTATGCGGGTAATGCCGAATAAGTTTAAGCTCACACTGCGTATTCACGGCTCCTTCGGAGGTATGGTAACATGTGGAGACATCGAATAATGAAACGGCGATCCTGTAAAATATAGAAAGTACATAACTGCCGATTTACATATAGATAATAAGTATAAGGTGTGTGTACCCTAGCAGAGTCAACCCTTGCGCCACCATGGTACCCTTAGCTTGGTCTCCTTCTAGCTCCGAGGGTGTTGTGGCTACTATATAGCGAGATCGATTAGCAGTTTCTACAAGCTTTGATGAGAAAAATGTAGGGTAGAAAGAAGGGGAAAGGGGGGGGGAGGGTGGGGTTCGCAAGTCAAATCCCTAAGCGCATGGCTCACAGCAGTAAGTGGTTGCTTACGCCTCGGTCGGTGCATTGTCTTAGCCAAGCCGCGTTATTGCGAGTCCCTAGCTCGGTATTCGCTGCTTCTTCTCGGAGGTGAGGTAATCATCCCTGGATGACATGAATTGTTCATGTTGCTTGTGTTTGCTTTTAAATGAGTTCAATAGCTTTACTCAGATTGCGAACGGGGTACCAAGGAAGCTAGGGCCGTAGTGGGTTACTAGTATCCTTGTGAAGTCGGGGAATGTTTGTTGAAGGGAAGTAATTTCGTAGCCTAAGTGCTTCTCGAAGGGTGGGAGTACGGATACGGTATCCTCGTCAGCTACAATTTTCACAACAAATGAGTAGGACTTTGTTCGGTAGCCTAGACTGTATTTGGTAGGCTGGGAATTTATAATAAGTACCAAGTGCATGCCACCAGAGTCCAGACTGCTTCATCAATCGACCAAGGGACCCATGATCTACAGAGTTCGCCAGCTAATTGGGTGGGTTTGAGTAAGGGATGAATCCCCATGGGTCTAACAGATGTAGCGTCGATACTGTTCACTGGGCAGCATCAGGGGACCCGCATGCCTACTCAGTCTGTGCTAGGCTAGTAAGGGAGGAGGGGGAGCCAGGGATTGGTATTACCATCTACATTTATGTATGATGTACGGAGTACGGAGGGCGGAATAGTAACTTGTAAACGCGAAGTGAATGATAATCCACTTGTGACAATACGTGTAAAGTCTGCCTCTCATGCCGGATGGGTACCCGAGGGTAGCTTGACGGTCCGGAGGCTGCCCGACGCGTGACGCGCACGCGCCATAACCATACCATACAGGCCCGACGAGGCGCGTGGGCAATCAACAGGTGCAGCCTGTCTTTCTTCGTTCTCTCATTCTTCACTCAACTAAGGAATTATTCACAAAATATCTTGCGCATATCTCCCCACCTTGCCTGGACGGACCTTACCGGACAAAGGGATTTGAACTTAGTCGAGCCGTCTTGCCGCCTATGTTCTGGGACTCTTTCCTTCGATAACCCACTTGCTCCATCGCTCTGTTCTCGATCTCACCATCTAACATACATCATCTACTTCGCGCCTATTCAACGTACCACGCCCTTCCAGTGGCTGCCTGCTTCTGGCTACATATTTGTTCCGATAACCACGTCAATTTTCAAGCCTTGGATGACGATAGCCGTTTCCCTAGGCCCTCTCTGTCCTTGTCTCTAGATTACTGCCTGTGCATCGCGCTCCTACGCGCTGGATGTTTTGACCATTATCGTTTCTCGCACTGCGATTTGCAATTTCACCACCCAGATTTTGTTCAATAATCTCAGCAAGGCGTGCTCTCCCGTTCATTGCTCCGCGGGTGCCCTACTAGAGCCCAAGGTAACCCGAATCTTTGCCCTGTTGCCATACACGGTGTGCGGAAGTTCGCTCCGCGTCGGAAGTCCCTTGACACCAAGGTACAGGGCATAGATCGTGGCAGTATGAGCCCGACACGTTCTGCGCCGCTAACCTCACGGCCTACATCTTGTGGAAAAGCGATTCCCAAGCCACGACCCCGCTTAGAGCCCTCACCTTTACCTCTGCAGCCTGTTGAGCATGTGCCGTCGACACAAGGTCAATTCTTAAATGCGACCGCTTCTACGACGCACAACGTTTCGCCGGCAAAAGCCGTTCGCGGCTCAAGTAGCCTGTTTTCTGGACATGGAAATCTAGGATATGTTCCCATCACAGCGCCCCCCGCTCCAGAATTTATAACAGATTCTCCTTCCAAACACCCCTCCTTCGGATATCACCACACCGCTGCTTCTTCCTCTTCAATGCCCCAATCCGCGTTATTCACGACATTCTCCACTTCCAGTTCAGGGAAACAGTCTCCAAAGGAAACCCAATCATCAGATGAACCCAACAGCGATAATTTTGCAGACTTCCCCGAACCCTCATTCATACCCAAACCTTTGAAGAGGACACTCATGGATGCAGCGCCACTGAAGGAACGACAAACAAAGAAGCAGAAGCGGGAGGAACCTAGTTCTATGCGCTTACCGGAACCTCATGAAATGCCTCCGATAGAAGACGATGGTACAAAGCCGCCTTATAGCTATGCAACGCTGATTGGCATGTCTATACTTCGTGCGCCAAACAGGCGATTGACATTAGCGCAAATATACAAGTGGATCTCGGATACGTTTTCGTATTACAAGAATAGTGACCCAGGCTGGCAGAACAGCATTCGGCACAATCTCAGCCTGAATAAAGCATTTATCAAGCAAGAAAGGCCTAAGGATGATCCAGGGAAAGGCAACTACTGGGCTATTGAGCCTGGAATGGAAGCTCAATTCCTCAAAGACAAGCCACTACGCCGCGCAACCATGTCCAGCCTTCCTCTTCCGGCAGCGCCTCAGAAGGACACAGCGCGTCCGCATACTTCAAGTACTACTACATGGGCAATCCCGCCCCCAGCATACCAACCGACAGGAAAACATTCGAAGCCTGTGGATCTATCTTCTGATGCCACGCTCCCTGCTTCTGATCCTGCTCTTCAAGAAGACACGAGTGACGAACATACCAACCGTACTGTGCAGACTCTTGGTCCTCGGTCATCACCGCTCCAAACCATACATTCGTCACCTCCTGTTGTGCCCCCTCGTTACACTCGACAAGGGACCCCTCCAACGCCATCTCAAACCATCACTTCAGGAATCGTTTCCATCACCACTAAAAGGAAACAAAACGCAGTGAATGACAGTGGATACTTCTCGTCGCTAGAGTCCTCAGCTATGCGACCAAGCAAAGCTGGGCATATTCTAACTTCGGATTTAGACATAGACCCGCCACGAATTAAGCGTGGTCGGGCAGAGGAAGAGATAGCTCGAATTCGAAGTTCTTCCCACGATATTAGCCCAAGTCAGTGTGGCATCTTGAAGGACTCAGGATTAGTTGTTGGTTCATCGCCCCTCCGTGGGGAATATATCAGCATGCTACCCCCTCCTATCACGCCTGTCATCAAATTCAAGAAACCCGCTAAACCACCACCTTCAGTATCACCAAACACGAATCTCAGGAACCATCGTAAGAAGATCCAACACATGGTCAATTCCCCGATAAAGCATTTGGGCCTCAACGATGAAGATCTTCCTTGGAGCCCGGCTTTCAATATCCAAGACGAGACGTTCACGCCGAGTGAAAATCTCCATACTGGCTTCGATGTCTTTGCGGATCCTGTTCCGGATAATATATCAACCCCAGCATACGGCTCGCCAGAGAAGCGGTCTGCAAAGCGTACTCGAACAGACGCTGGCGGATCAAATGGCAATATACTGGCAGATATCACATCATTGAATTCCAACAACAGGCTGGGGGTGCAACCGTTGCAATCATCGACCAAAGCTAAAAGCCTTCTTTTCCCCGAGTCGCCTTCCAAAGTAACTGACTCTGCACGTTATCTGGACTCTTCACATGAGGATTTCTTCTCGTTTCATCTTTTTGATGAAAGCCCGGCGGAAATCGATGGCGTGGATATTTTGCAGGGATTCCAGAAGATCGGAGGTATGAACAAGGAAGAACCGTCAAGAGCGAAATCATACCCACCGAGGCCTTCGTGCAGTCATCGAAGCAACACACCTCTGTTCTAAAGCCTAAAGCCAGGAGGTTGGGGGCTTGGGCGATGAAGGTAAAATTGAAGCCAAACAAAACAATAATTCGCAGCGAGCGCCTCGGGGAAGTCATATTTTCTTTCTGGATGGCGCACTAAATCGGCAGATTGTCTGATCCTGCTGGTAGACAACGGGGTTTAATGGGGAGGAGGGCGCTTTGAATATTTGCGTGTTTATTTCACTTCTGAGCAGATGGGGTTGCTTGGAGTTTAAAAGGGTGGTAGTCGGTTATGACATATACCGGACCTGGAATGACCTTGTTACGACCTTTATGACGACATTTGGTAAGATGTACATGAGTATGTGATGTCTAAACGAACTTGAGTTTCTGCTTTTCCGCTTGCGTGTCGTTTCAGTTCTTTTTGCTTGCTCCCCGGACTGTTTGGTGATTTACCGAGCACATATTTAGTTAGTTTCCACTACAAGAGCGCACAATTTGCATTGTTTCTGTAATTTGTAAAGTGTAAAAGAGCGTAGAAGCGTGTTAGGTCCCAGTTCCATTTAAGGTGATATGGAGTTCGGTATAGTTCTCTGAATGATGAGCAGAGCCTAGTGGGTCGGTGTCGACTGATGCGTGAAGCAAGCAGAAACGGAATAAATGTTCGAAGGGCACCGTATGAGGAAATAGTTCATGGAAGGAAAAGATATCTGAGTTCTCAATTCCTGACCTAACGCCGTACCAAAGAAAGGTCTAACCTGCATGACCTGTGCCTTTCAACTTATTGAACGGAACCCGAATACGCTAAAATACAGGAAGGAAATTTCGTTTTCGAGATTAGGCTAGTCGCTGCTAGCACAACCGCGGCACCCACAGCTAACACATTGAATTGTTTGATCCTCTTTGAGCTGCGCCTTGGGTACCCGGCAGATGCAAGTTGCATTAAAGTTCGTTTCCTTCGTCTGAATGCACCGGAGGCAGCATAACTGTATTGAAGACATGGTACGTGTTAGTAGATTAATCTTATTCCAGGTCTTGGCAGGCGAACTTCATGGTAGTATCGCTCGGATAATGACAGAAGGAGACATAAGAGCAAGAGTAGAGAACGGGTAGATAGTAACCTTTTCGTAGCCTTGCTTCTTCCATTTAGCGATCAGGTTGGCGTCCGCATAGTTGTTCTTCAGAAGCCATTCGTACAGCTGTTTTGATATGGCTTCTTTCTCGTAGTACAAGTCATATACGTATCTGGACCCTGTGTGTCATATTATGAGTGACTTGGAACGGTCGACAACTGGGATATGACTTGGATGGAAGACCACCTACTCTGATGGCTGATCTGGAATATGGGCCACAGCATCTCGTGCTTCTTCTTTCCGTCATGCGATGCATTCTCCGCATCTTTCATCTTATTACTGAACTCCAGCAGTGTATCCTCTATATCATCGAAGCCTGCCGGGGGCGGTTTGCGATTGCGCGAGGTCCGTACCGGGGGCATTTTGGAATATGTAGCCGACAATAAGAAAGCAAGGGCAATTTTGCGTGCCTGATTAAAAGAGGGACAGGAGTGAGATATTGCGAAACAAAACACCAAAAGCTTGTTGATTTTCCGTAGCCCAAAGAATGATTTGCTCCACATTAGATAGATGCGTTCGAGCGGCGGCGGGCGCTACGAGCTTGCGGCCGCATCTGCATCTGCCATGTCACACCGCCTTTAATTCTTCTGGGCATCTGATTCCGATGGTTGCTCAACCATCGGAGACCAGCAAACCATCCCATCTGTTCTTCATAACCTGTGCTGAGCATACTCGCGATCCATTTTTGAACCAATTTTCATCATCAAATTCTACCTTTCAGTCTTTTTCACAGAAATCCGCCTGCACCATGGATGCACAGACCCAGGTCGATATTAGCAAGCTGAATGATGCCGACAAGAACGAACTGAGCCAGATGCTGGCAAACGAACAACAAAAGGCCACGATGCAGCAAAGTGAGTTAATATGACTGAGTCGCTATTCTATGGCCGATTCGTCCCCGACTTGAGATGCTCCAATGCAATAATGTGCTAATGGTCGTCATTTAGCCGTCCATTCGTTGTCGGATGTTTGCTGGAAGAAATGTATCACGGGAAAGATCTCGTCAGGTCGCCTGGAACAACCCGAGGAATCATGCGCGCAGAACTGTGTTGAGCGGTGGATGGACTCGAACCTTGCGATTCTGAAGCATCTCGAAGCCCTGCGTGGATAGATGTATATTTCTTGTCTTCTACTGTCGAAAAGCAGCGAGCTCATGCATAGAGCACGTCTGCCGCCACCCTGCATGTAAACGGGTACCTCATGTATTATATCAGTCATACCAATAGAAAGGACGTGCTGGCTTTGCCACATGGAATAGCACCGTGAGCGTACCGGAAACTAGCTTTTCTGCTCTGATTGTCTGCGCGTGTAATACTGTAACATATATAGAGATGTACCTCGACTTACACTGGGTCTAGGAAAGGCAAGTAGCCTAAGCTAGAGTCCACGGCGATGGCTTAAAATCTACGGGTCTAGAACCAGATTTATTCGTGGTATTCATGCATTTGAGTAATTCCCTCTTCTTTCTTTTTTGGAAACGATCATTCAGCCCTCATTCAAGCATTGGCAGCTAACTTTATGACTGATATTTATGGACCACCGCGCAAAATAAAAATTCACCCAAACCCTAAATGAAATGTATCTAGACGATGGCAAGCTTGGTGGCAGCGATGTCCAGAGCATCAACGTCAGGGGTTAGACGGGCGAAGGCCTTCTTCAGTCCATCGGGTCTAAAGGAAGGTTAGATATTCCGACTTCTGTAGTACATCAATGATTATGGGATAGGTCGTCGTACCTGACGAGAGTGTTGACCTTGACGGTGTCAACGTCGTACAGCTTCTTGAGGGCGAGCTTGATCTGGCGCTTGTTGGACTTGACGTCGACGATGAAGACCAGGGTGTTGTTCTCCTCGATCTTCTTCATGGCGCTCTCGGTGTTGAGAGGGTAGAGGATGACCTTGTGCGCATCGAGGCGAGGGACATGGGGGATCGACTTGCGGGGGTACTTGGGCGACCGGGAAAGCTGAAGGGTCTTGGGGCGGTGGAAGGTCGTAGAGGTGCGGACCTTACGAGCCTTGTGCGCCTGGAAAAATTATATGACATTTAGCACCGAACAGAGCATGGGCGGATTTGAAGCCTTGTGAGAACGTACGCCAGCACCCTTAATGACTGCCTTGGCGGCAGCACCAGCCTTGTCGCTGGGCTTGGTCTTGCCTATAGATCCAGAATGTCAGCCCGTCCGTCACTTCAAAATAAAATATAGCCCATCGCTCGCTCGAAATAAGATCCATGCAAGTTGACAATAACGGGGGAAACACAGGGCTCGAATCGTTCATCGGGAATGCCTTTTTTTCGTTCGTGCTGAGAGGGCCTTATCCCCCGAAGTACCGCCACATGTAGATGCCATTCGAGGATCACAAAACCGGGTTTTCGACAAGAACAAATCTGCAAATTTCAAGAAGACGGATGAATCGCATAAATTGTACCTACCTTGCTTGTTTTCCACCTTGGGAGCCATGGCTATCGTCCGGCGCTGTCGTGTTGATTGTCGCAGTGTCGAGTGTCGAATTATTTGGAAGGTATTCGCTTAATGAAAACCCTACGGTTGACTCTGTGGGTCACCTGACCTGCCCTCCGTGTCGGATGGTTTGGATCTCTTGGCGACCACAACTCGAACGGGCTAGTCTGTCGAGTCTGTCTTCTTTCGGCATAGTGTATCCGTTATGGTCACGTGTATAGGCGGTTTCTCGCGTGTCGAAGCCATCAATGATTTCGACAAGAGTTGAATGAGCCGAGTTGACGGCTTTTGCCCGCGCAGACACTACGACTCACACGCAAGGATACTGTCAGGGCAGCAGAATCAATAGGCCGAGACATGGGGCCTTCTAACAAACAACTGAGAAAAAGACCTGGTCTTCTGTCCCGCACCCGTCCCCCCACTGTCCGGGCAAAGCATGCGGCCTTGTCGGCGAAAGCTACTCGAAATCTCATTCGATCACACCATCGACTACTCAAAGCGCTTGCCCAAGCTGTACGGGCCGGTGATGATGTCTTAGTTGGAAAGATCGAGGCGCAAATCCAGGAAAATGGCGGCTTGGAAAGCTACCAGCTCGCAAGCAAACTTGGCCAGTCTTTAGATCGTGGAGGCGACTCTAGCAAGGTCTTAGTTGATTGGATAGCTCCCCGGTTACTGCCAATAGAAAATACACCCTACAAGCTCCGAGTACTCGAGATTGGAGCTCTAAGCACAAAGAACGCTTGTTCAATGAACAGATTACTGGACGTCACTAGGATAGATCTGAATTCTCAAGAACCGGGGATCCTGAAACAGGATTTCATGAAAAGGCCTCTTCCCCAAAATGAGTCCGATAGGTTCCATATTATCAGTCTCTCCTTGGTCCTCAATTTTGTTCCAGATGCCGCCGGTCGGGGTGAAATGTTGAAGCGCTGTATATCCTTCTTGACCACGTCGCCCCCCTCCGGTTCTTCTCTTGATATTATCCCAAGCCTGTTTCTGGTTCTCCCACTCTCCTGCGTTACCAATTCGCGCTACCTCACCGAAAGCAGGTTGCAAGACATAATGTCTAGTATGGGCTTTGCGTTGGCTAAGACCAAGCAGACATCCAAGCTGATATTCCAACTTTGGGATCAAGTTGGCGGCTACAACGCCAAACCCTTCAAAAAGGAAATCTTGAACCCTGGAAAAACAAGGAACAATTTTTCAATTATCGTCAAGTGATAATAGTGTCGTATGGGACAACAAGAAAGAGCTGCTATCCGCACATTCATAGTGCAGAGATAGCATCCTGCGGGAGAATGGACCATGCAGTCCCAATCAAGGCCAATATCGAGGAAGTTATTAGAAGGCACCAGTCCAGTACCCGTTCTCTTGGACTTATCTCGTTGCCAAATATCTTCAGGTGGAAGGCAACCGGCAATATGATGCAGATCGTGAAACATAAAGCTGACCCCATCAGCGCCATAATTCGATCAAAAGAAGGGAAGAGCACTGCCATGAAAACAATGCTGACCACGACAAGGATGCGTATAAAAGCTCTTGAAAGGTTCTGAACCATGGCTTTTGTGCTTTTGGGATCTGTCTGAAGTTCAGGGTGTGACCCAAGTCCACAGAGGACTTCGACTGTGGCCACGAGCGGTCGGCAACTACATCCGTCAATCAATAATTCATGTTCTTTTTTCAGATTACACAAGATGACAACATGTGAAATGGTACTCACTTCAATGGTACTTTAGTGATTGGAATGATGGCGATAAACATGATCATGCAAATAGACAATACCTGCGAATATTCGTCTGTACGTAGGATGTTGGCAGTGACTTCATCTCGAACATCGTCTCCAAACATGATCCAGCCCACTATGGCCATCGTGCAGTCAAGAGAATACTAGGACAAATATTTCAATTAGCACTTGAGAACACTATTTCCTGTTTGTTGGGAAATTATGCACGATTCTCTGTGCGTTTGCCTTTCAAGATGTTGCCGAAACCCGCTTACCGTAAAAATATAAGTGACCCAGAGACTTTTCCCATACTTCTGTGGATGCCGCATATCGCGGTATATATTTGGAAATACGCCGTGGCCACCCCATGGTGCTACTTGAACATCAGTGCCTTCTCCTAAGCTACCCCTAGCAAGTGATAAGACTTACACATTATGAGCCCAAAGCTAAGAGGAAGAGTGGCCCACTTGTCAGGCAATAAATACGTCCTGGCTGGTTGAAGGAGAGATCCCGGGGCGGTTGGTTTCGTAAGCCCATCAATACAAGTGATAATGACGACTTCGACAATGTTAGCTTCTCGGAAATACAGTGGGTTCGGGAAGAAGGCACACATACTAGAGGTACAAGAAAGTATACCGAGGATACTTGTCACGCTGAGAAGTCGCAATGGTAAAAAGTTGAGGGGAATAAGCATAAGTCCGCATACTATTTTCCACTGAAGAAGGCTCAAGCCTGGGATGAGAGCCTGCAGACTGTCCGCAAAAAGCACAACCAGTGCGACGCAAGCCCCGACTAGTTCCAAGCAGAACAAGAGGCTTGTCGCTAAGCGTGCGTGGTGACCGAAGCTAATGTATGCTAGATCAGCGTAAGTGACAATACTCTTATCAACGTCAAGACACTTTGCAAGGATCTTTGCCGTGTAGTTCGTCGCTACTGCAGCAAATAGTAGAAATAGCAGGCCGAGAAGCCAGCCTGCATGCTTCAGAGCTAGCGGCAAGCTCAACAGACCAACACCGATCAAAACGTTGACGGAATTGAAGATCGTCTGTGGAACCGTAGATTGGCCGACAACAATACACTCTCTTGTACCGTCTTCATGATGCACTTGTTTTACAAGAACCGGTTCCCTTTCATAGCCCACAGATGTATCCCCATGACTTTGTTGCTCTCTGTGCAATTGGATCGCATGCTTCCGTGTCGTTGCACTAACGCGGGAAGAAATCGTTCCGTACGAACCCCCAAGCGATGGTTCAAAAATGTCTGCATTTGACGTCCTTTTGCTCAGCTGGCCGGTCATGCCATTGTCTTCATTTCCTCCATCAGCACCCAACAAAGGGCGTGTAAAGTCGGCCTCATGTCCCGAGTATTCTTGTGGCCTGAAGATGTCGTTTGTAGTTCCAGCCCATTCTTCGTCAGAGTCTACCACAAACGAGGACCGTCGAGGTAAGACCTCTGGAAAATACGCAGCTCGCTGCCATGACCGAGCAAAATTGTCGATGCTATTGACCCCCCCTGCCTGTCTGAACCGCGCGGAGATGGAGGCTGATCTGTGTAGCGCAAGACATAGTTAAACCGAGCTGGCGTGGTATGCTTTCACGGTGAGTGGGCGACTTACCTTGGCCTCGGATAGCTATTTTCTACTCTTGAATAGCTGCCACTGCTCGTTGCAAGCCCATAAGGATATACATCAGGCTCAATTGCTGAATCAACGCTCGACCTGCCAGGCGCAATTGGCCTATGTGAGCTAGAAGCCTGGGCACCAGCAGCTGTAGGAATTGTGGATTCAGGCATTGTGTATGATTCGTTTAAGGTCCCTTGCCAGGGGACAGAAGCTTCCGGTCGTGAACCAAGCTACTTGCTGCTTGATCGATTTTCTCAAAACAACAACAACAGCAGCAGCAACAACAACAACAACAACAACAACAACAACAACAAAGGAGGAAGAGTCAGGGGGAAGAGCGATCAGGGAAAGGAAACCATGGAAAGACCGGGTCTATTTATTGAGTGCAGAAGTACAATCAAGGCTGCTGAGGAGACAAATCAGCTATCGGCGAAATAATATTAGGGCGTCGCTTTAGGTGGCGGATAATCTCAGAGTGTAAGTTGAATGGTCGTCACTATCAGCGATTTCTTATAGGCGTAGCCACAGGATCAGCTTGCACGATGTCCAGGACAAAGATAAGGTGTAGTATAGCACTCCGTAGTCTAGCTAATGGATACGATCAGGTTATCTCCGAGAAAGGCAAGGGTAGAAATCTTGATTGGTAAGTCCAATGAGAAATTATTCCACGATAGAAAGGACCCCGGGAGCTTCTGGCGAATTTCGGGAGCGAATGTGGGGTTCCTCTTGGAACTAATACTGCACAGGTACATGGAGTTCCAACCGGCTTTGTAGATAGTTGTCCTTGCATTATTGATAAGCCATCAATGGCATTTGGTTCACCACATTGATTTATGTACTCCAGATGAGGTGGTTCAGCCTGCGATATCATGGACGGTTTCTTTCTTGCATGTTCTCAGGGTAGTGTCAAGATTTTGCTTCGGAGTTCCCGAAGACTTCGCTTTTGAGGCCGTTGAAGCGGAGTGTTACATTTTGAACTGATCACAGAGTAATTGATCACTGATCTTAGAGAGATGACCAACTGTGAAGACCCAGGCTCATGCTAGGTTGTGCCATATATGAAATATGATAGTAGGCGACCTAGTTAGTCGATAGGTAAGGTAGACCGAATGGTAGCGACCTCCCAGCCCACTCCTAGGAACACCGACAAAGACGTTACGTGGGCAGTAGTACCGTTAGTATTAGTATGAAATGAGCCACAGCCTCGGGCAATCCTTCACCAACTTCTCGGTGCAGTTCTCTGGTTAAGTGACTCGCAAATGCTGGATCGTATCTGGATTACGGAGTATGGTATATCCAGGAACCGCACTCCGATCCATCCCACTTGATCTTTGAAGCCTTGCGGTCGCTATGTTGAGTAAGATCGATAAGCCTAACAATGATGCAAATGCAGAGGCCTTTGATTCGATTCTCTCTCGCATTTTATAACCATAACTTTTCTCTCCGCCGCCTCAACATGGATCGCATGGCCTCTATACAAGCGTTGTGGTGATTATTGATCCCCCTTGTGCGAGTTCCAGCTTATGTCATCGTAAACAGGCGACCGCCGGCCCATTCGTCGTTCCTTGTGTCGTCGGCCGCCCCCCCACGGTGCCTGATGAAAATTGCTTAAACACCCCGCTGGACTTGGACGGCAAATCGACCAGCCGTGAGGTATGTGACTTAATCATCTCTTTCCCGTTCACCTTTGTCTTTGTGGTCATAGAACCATTGTCACCTCAGTTCCCTTTCTCTTTTCACCGCTGACAGTTAGTATTCTAGCACCAGCAAGCCACACACTTAACGTCTTCTGGTCGTATCATATTGTTGCCTCGCCCAACATGAGCGCGGCTCAGCCGAACGAAGCGGAGAAGAACATCGAGATATGGAAGGTGAAGAAACTCATTAAGCGGCTTGAGGCCGCTAGAGGAAACGGAACCTCCATGATCTCTCTTATCATTCGTACGTCTTCCGTCCAGTCAACTCGTCATTAGAATACTTCTAATTATCGGTTCTTCTTTGCAGCCCCCAAGGATCAGATTTCTAGAGCAGCAAAGATGTTGGCGGAAGAGTTTGTAAGTGGCTTGACTGAGGGAGACACGGCCAGTCCAGTAAAGTTGCTAATCACATATTACAGGGCACTGCGTCTAACATCAAGTCTCGTGTCAACCGTCTTTCCGTCCTTTCCGCTATTACTTCGACGCAACAACGTCTCAAGCTCTACAATAAGGTGCCGCCGAATGGTCTAGTGGTTTATTGCGGTGAAATTATCACCTCTGAAGGAAAGGAGCGCAAGATCAACATTGATTTCGAGCCTTTCAAGCCAATCAACACCTCGTTGTATCTCTGTGATAACAAGTTCCACACTGAGGCTCTTAGTGAGCTTCTTGAATCCGATCAGAAGTTTGGTTTCATCGTCATGGATGGAAACGGTGCCCTGTTCGGTACCTTGAGCGGCAACACCAGAGAAATCCTGCAAAAGTTGAGCGTTGATCTGCCCAAGAAGCACGGCCGTGGTGGTCAGTCAGCATTGCGTTTCGCTCGTCTTCGTGAGGAGAAGCGCCACAACTACGTACGCAAGATTGCCGAGTTGGCTGTTCAGAACTACATCACCAATGACAAGGTCAATGTTGCAGGATTGATCTTGGCCGGTTCTGCCGATTTTAAAAACGACCTGAATCAGTCCGATATGTTCGACCAGAGATTGCAGGCTAAGGTCATCAAGGTTGTCGACGTGTCTTATGGTGGCGAGAACGGCTTTAACCAGGCTATCGAACTGGCATCTGAGACCTTGAGCAACGTCAAATTTGTTCAGGAGAAGAAGCTTATCGGAAAGTATTTCGAAGAAATCAGTCAGGATACTGGAAAGGTCTGTTATGGCATTGACGATACATTGAAGGCTTTGGAGCTTGGTGCGGCGGAGACACTGATCGTATATGAGAACCTTGACGTTACCCGGCACGTTCTCAAGAGCTCCAGCGGTTCGGATGTCGTCATCCACACTACCAAGTCACAGGAAGAGAACCGTGAACTGTTCATGGACAAGGAGACTGGCGCTGAGATGGAAGTGAGCGAGCAGCAGTCGTTCCTTGAGTGGCTTGCTGAAAGCTACAAGGACTTTGGAGCAACCCTGGAGTTCGTCTCCGACAAGTCCAGTGAAGGAAATCAGTTTGTCAAAGGTTTCGGTGGTATCGGAGCCATCCTTCGGTACAAGGTCAACTTTGAACAGCTTGCTGACTACGATGACGAGGATGAATTCTACGACGGTATGTTTAACTCAATGTCGGTGTTATTCGTGTGCTAACCACTCCCTATAGATTGACGGTTCAGCGGCCTCGCAGAGAGCGAGGATGAACGGCCAGAAGATTCCAGTTCGGACCTTCTGACGGCTCGCCCCGTGATTCGTGATGGCGGCTCTCCCGGCAACATGGCCGCAATGGTACACACCTTGCCGTTGCCCAGTCAATCTCCTATGAAGCTGCTTAGAAGTATGTGCTTCCTTATTTGTGCAACCGTGCAACTTGCTGACATCATAGCAGCAGGGCCATCCAAGCTCCGTAACATGTTCACAGAGGTTATGTAGACAGTCTAGGGTGGCACTAGGTTTTATATTCCAGTTCGAAAGGATGATAGATCTGTTATGTCGAACCTATAACTGTTCATCAAGGGCTGTCGATCGTATAACACTTGGGCTAGCGCGTTTAGACTGTTGGTTCCAGTGCTTGTTAGCACTGGATCTTTCTTCGTTGTGTTTTTCTTTTGTTGCTTCTGTGTGCGCTTCTTCTTATAACGGAAGGAAACCAATCCTGCTTTCCTTTTCATGTTATATACAGGTCCTGTAGATGCCTGTAAATCTGGTTGCGCATGACACACGAGGCCTACACGGCAATTGAACTGCTTCATAGAACTCATTTTTTTTTTTTAATTCGGGTATCGATACGATGTGTCTATATGAAGTATTGCAAGCTACAAAAGCACTATAAACCCTCTGCACCCTTTCCTCACCAGTAACGACGCTTAGACATCTACGAGCTGATCCGCCCATGTTCCCAAATGCCTGCAACCCTCAGTTACAAATTGTAGCCCATCAATGATCTTAGATACCGCATCCGCATTTTCACTTGTTGGGACGTATTGGCCTTCGACCAGGAATACATACTTCCACGCCCTTATCTGACTCGGTCGAGAATTTATGCTCGTCAGATTCATGCCACGATCCTTGAAGATCAAGAGAGCATCTGCCAAAGCACCCGGGCAGTCCTGGCGAATCATGAATGAGATCAAAGTCTTTTGCGCTGTTGGTGTAGTAGAAGTCTGTCTCTGCGCTGGGGAACCGTTGACATATTGGAAGACCAGCCGGCCTGTACGTTCCGATTTCACATTTCTGAGCACCAGGAAGCGGGTGGTGTTATTGGCCTTGTCCTCAATGTTTTCCTCTGATACATCCAGACCGTGATGTTCGGCAGCAAAGCGGCTAGCTATTGCTCCACATCGCTCTGTCGTCTCTTTCGACACGATCTCAGCGCCCTTGGAGGTTGACGAGACATCTTGTCTTTCGATGCCTTTGAAAGTTTTTTCAAGAAAAGTATCACACTGGCCCCATGCCTGCGGGTGGGTATATAACTTGGTGATGGAGCTGTAATCTCGCTGACCAGGTGGGAAGAGACCCTTTCGAGTGAGAAGACAGTGGTGAACTGTCAGATAATGTTCCCCGCACACTTTCACATCACTGTAGAGGCCACTCGGGTCCGCCAAGAGATCTAGAGTCTGAACAACCGAGCCATTGGTTGAGTTCTCGCAAGGGATGATAGCATAATCGACTCTGCCTCCTTGCAATGCTGCGAAAGCGTCCGGAAACGATACGTGGGGTAAAAGTTCAGCTGAAGACCCAAAGCTTTCAACTGCGGCCTAAAGGGTTGGTTAGTAATATGACTATGGTGAAATCCAACCTGATGAATTTCTGACCTGGTGGGAAAATGACGCGACAGGGCCGAGGAATGCGACCTTGAGAGGCTCCATGGCAGGGCTATGAGTACTTCGGAGATCCACTGGGTTTAGGTTGCTTGCCTCACGATTTTGTACTCCTGCCAAGAGCTTGTGAGTTGTTCCTTTCCACAGCTGCGGCTGACATAACTAGTCGAAATTCGAACTCGTTTACGCCCGTGTAATCATCTCCGAGTTGTTTGTTTTTGATGGTTCAATCTGTCCGCTAGGGCCTGGTGATCTTATTAGTCCAAATGCGCATGTTCAGTTTGGATTCCAGACGGATGCGACTATTACTGCGTTCATGGCAGCAGCAGCAACAACAGCAACAACAATGGCGGATACTGCCGGCTTCATTACGTGCATGCTCGTCTCTTTCCGAAAGGCTACATCGAGATTTGACATCACGACGCCTTCCCTTGACTTTTGATTATCTACATCCCCAGCCGTCATACCTCCTGAGCTTAACTTTGGCCGAACTTCTTCCCACGCTAACCCCAGCGTCAAATGAGCTTCCTTCCGCACACAGCAGATTTCCCGTGCCAGCAGGCCACCATCTAGTCTACTTCCCTCCCCAGGTCACGTTGTCGCAGATCCTTCCAGACGGTACAGACACCTTACATGCCCCAGGGAGTCCCTTTGATCGGCGCTTGTGGGCTGGTGGAAGTGTAAGATTCTCCACTCCAAACGGCCTGGTTCTCAATGGCAGCCGCGCCGTTTGTATCGAAACTATTCGTGACGTGGTGATGAAGGGCCGGTCAGGCGAAGAAAAGGTTATGGTCAGAATTGAAAGGCGGATCGGCGCAGTTCAAGAGGGCGAAGACCATCGCAATATTAGAGAGCGGATATGGAAGGAAGCCGAGGAAGACGTTGGCGATGCTTGTGTCATTGAGACTAGGAATCTATTGTTCATGCGCAAGAAGACTCCCGAGCAATTAAGTCATGACAAGGCTGGTTTTGACATGGAAAATAGGGCTATAAGATGTGCGAGATTCCTCGAAGATTGCCAGTCACTAAATCTTTGCTAACGGTGCTCGGTGGCGCGTAGCACCCTCAGGTTCATACTTTCTCCACAGACTCATACCTAACAAAACCCTGCTGTTCCGCTTCTCGGCTCTTACTTTCAACGCTCATTCTATACATATCGACAAAACCTACACACAAGACGTTGAAGGCTACCGCAACCTTCTCGTACATGGGCCGTTGACTTTGGCGTTGCTTCTCGCGGCTCTGCAGGGCCATCTGAGTAAGTTTGAATTGGCTGTCACGCACATTGAGTATAGGAACATAGCTCCTCTATATGTTGATGAGGAGTTGGCAGTATGCGGCAAACCCAAATCCGGAAAAGGCTACGCAATCTGGGATGTTTGGATTGAGGGCAGGGACGGACGACTTGCCGTCCGAGGCACCGCTTTCACTAGCCCCTTGTAGGGTTCATGGTCTCAGGATGAAGAAGCGGCGGCCAAGGCCAACAATCGAATAGAGGAAAGAGCCTCCTGGTCTATTAGGAACTTACTTGGCTTGACACCACTACCCTGACTTATTGGGTCCTACGGCAATTCCGGGCGTCGAACAGGACGTCTTCGTAGATCGGTGCTTCTTTGAGAGATGGGGTGTATAGCGACACATTGCATACTGAATTAGCTCGCAAGTAGCATCAGTAACCCGTTATTCCAGGAGCATCATGGACCACTAAGGACCCATCCCTGGATATGACAATCCATTTACACCCAGCTATGCCTGAAATATAGGGTGGCTATAGTTAGTCATTGAAGTTTTTCCACGGAGGAGTTAGTTATCAATTAACCAGGCACTGAAACACCAGGACATCATTACGTACAGAAATGATGATATAAACTGCCGCAATGGGTATAACCCTGTGGGTCGCACACATGCCGGAACGGATAAACAGATGCCGCATTGGAGCTAGGAAATACACACACTATAAGAACTTACTTTCTGTCCTTTTCTTTCTTTCCCATTAACCCAATTTTGTTGGTGTTAAAACAACTCTGAACGCCGCGTCCCTTTCGGCGACACTGAATGATGTGTCTTGAATAGTATCTGTACTCAGATCACAGGATTATAACCGTGACTGCTCATCATAGCAGCTTCCTTGCAATCACAATGGACCAGTTTTGGGCTGCTCCTCCTGTTACTAGGTACGCCACATCACTCGTGTTTGATATCAGGACCCATAACTGACTCTCTTTTAGAACACTCACTGCACTTACCTTTCTACAGTCTATACTGGTACATGGTGGCCTTCTCAGCGGTTACTATGTACTGTTCCTTCGTCGCCTTGTCTTCAAGACTCTACCAGAGATATGGAGGCTGTTCTCGCCGTTTATGATCACTGGACCAGGCCTTTCCCTGATCTTTGATCTCTACTTTAGTATGGCTTTTGCGCTGTTCCGATGAACGGGCGTGCTAACTGCCGGTAGTGTTTACCTATGGCAGTCGCCTGGAGACTGAATCTCCCCGGTTCAGTGCACCCGGTGATTTTTTCACTTATGTGTCCTTCGTAGCCTCCATCATCATGGTAAGTTGTGGGAACATCCCAGTCTCATCTGCAAGCGATGACTTCGACCCTCGTTGTCTCCCAATCTTGCTCTGCGCCTATCTTTGTTATTGTTGTCATTTCTTTTTTTCATCTGTTTACTTGCCACCTCGTATATCTGCCCGCCCAGCGCAGCATCAGCTGAAGCGGTTCCTGGAAACGAGGGAGATCGCCCCTGCATCCCGTATAGCTCCACAACTGATTTTTACCGGAGCTATATGCGTTGTGGGTATGGTGGGACGACCAGTGAGATAGCTAGTGTGATGAACCTGTTCACACTGGTGGTTATGGTGCCCTACATCTCTATAACTATATATCCTATTGATTTGTCACTATTTTCATAGACCCTTCCTGCTTTCCAATGTAGCCTCCTTGAATTGCCAGTACTGACAGCCCAAAGCTCACGGCAGGTTGTCTATTGAATAGTGTAATTTTCACTTCTGGTGAGCTTGCCGTGGTACCAAAATTATGCTTGCCTATACTGATATTTTCTCGACTCAGCGTTGATCATGGCTTTCGTTTACACGTATTCCCAAGACAACCGAGGGAGAAAGGCGAGCTTTTTCATCGTCCAAATACCCGTCGAGTTCTTGCCATGGGCAATGCTCACATTAACGCTGGTCGTTTCCGGATGGCCTGCGGCGTTAAGGGACGGCATGGGCATAGTAGCTGCCCACTTCTACGATTTTCTTACCCGTATTTATCCAACTTTCGGAGGTGGTAAGAATTACCTCGTCACTCCAGAATTTGTGAGGCGGTTCTTTGCTGCTCGCAAGCCGCGGAGCGAACCTCGCGCCTTTGGGACCGCCTACCGTGCGACGGACCAGGCCCAGGGTTCTTCGGGAAGTTGGGCTTCGTCTTTTCAGAGCCCTTGGAGCAGAAGAGGGCCAGGAAGAAGACTTGGTGGTGACTGAATAAGGCACGTCGTTCCTGCCAGGTTGAGCAGTCGCTCCAAGTCCAGTGGGGAGGTCAGCTCAAGCGCGCAATGTTTAATGCAGTCGTATTTAGCTCGATGCTGGATGAGCCAAGGGCTCAATGCAATACGACTGTCAACTTCTTGCAAAGCTTTCCAAGTCGTTCCGATGCTTAGAATCCTTATTAAAAGAGAAGTAGCAGATACTTGAGTAGGCACGCAAGTAGACCAATACCTACTATACCACCAAGTAATGAAAATTGTCATCTTCCGATACAGTTCTTCAAAAATACATGTTTCAAAGACACAATGAGACGTACGGATACGAAATTTGCAACGTGCGAAAGACAAGTCACGGGATGCTGGCCCGGCGGGTAAAATTTCTGCTCTAACCTGATTAGTCGCAGGAGCTTTCGCCGCACTTCAAAATTTCCCAGACTTCTTCCTCGCTAGCGCGAGAACAAAACTTAGTCCGGAGAGTGCAATTTTTCCTGCGCCTTCCCTCAACGCGCGCAACAACCCAGTTATCTCTGCACCCTTCAAGCCAGCCTGTTTAAAATGGCGGTCGCAGTGGCTAAGGAGGAGATGGACTACTCAATCAAGCCTGAGGCTAGTGCCTCGAAAATCGACACGTCGGAGTGGCCGCTTCTTCTGAAGAATTATGACAAGCGTACGTTCACTTCAAATCCACATCTCATATCAATGTAGCTGGTGCTGATTTATAATATCAGTGCTTGTCAGGACCGGCCACTTCACGCCAATTCCCGCTGGTAGCACTCCTCTGAAGCGTGACCTGAAGTCGTACATCAACTCCGGTGTCATCAACCTGGACAAGCCTTCAAACCCCTCCAGTCATGAGGTTGTTGCTTGGATGAAGAGAATCCTGAGGTAAATCTTCTATTACGTTCTCCTCTTGTCTTCACGATACTGAGACTAGTTTTGTAAAGGGCGGAGAAGACTGGTCACAGCGGAACCCTCGACCCCAAGGTCACCGGTTGCTTGATTGTCTGCATTGACCGTGCTACTCGCCTGGTGAAATCCCAACAGGGTGCCGGAAAGGAATACGTTTGCGTGATCCGCCTACATGATAAGATCCCCGGTGGCGAGGCTCAGTTTAAGCGGGCTCTTGAGACCTTGACTGGAGCCCTTTTCCAGCGGCCGCCATTGATCTCTGCTGTTAAGCGTCAGCTTCGTATCCGGACAATTCACGAAAGCAAGCTTTACGAGTTCGATAATGAGAGGCATCTTGGTGTCTTCTGGGTCAGCTGTGAAGCCGGAACGTACATCAGAACCCTTTGTGTCCACTTGGGTCTTTTGCTCGGTGTTGGTGCGCACATGCAGGAACTTCGCCGTGTTCGCAGTGGTGCCATGGATGAGAACAGTGGAATGGTGACTCTACACGACGTTTTGGACGCCCAATGGTTGTACGACAACCAGCGGGACGAGTCTTATTTGAGGAAGGTCATCAAACCTCTGGAGACTCTTCTCACCACGTACAAGCGTATCGTTGTCAAAGACAGTGCTGTTAACGCTGTATGCTATGGTGCTAAGCTTATGGTCCCTGGTCTCCTCCGCTTCGGTAAGATCTTGTCTTCTCCATATGGTTCGAATTGAATTGCTGACTCTGGTGAAGAGGCTGGTATTGAGGTCAACGAAGAGGTAGTTCTCATGACCACTAAGGGTGAGGCTATTGCCATCGGTATCGCTCAAATGTCGACCGTTGAGCTGTCCACCTGCGATCACGGCGTTGTGGCCAAGGTCAAGCGTTGTATCATGGAACGCGACCTGTACCCGCGTCGCTGGGGTTTGGGGCCTGTGGCTTTGGAGAAGAAGAAGCTCAAGTCCGCCGGAAAACTGGATGTAAGCTATCCTATGGAATACTCACATATGTTCTGGCTTTGCTGACAAATAATGCAGAAATACGGTCGTGCTAACGAGGCTACGCCTGCTAAATGGAAGAACGACTACAAGGATTACAGCGCACCCGAAGAAGAAGGCGCACAGGCAGTGGCTCAACCTGTTGCTCAAGAAGAAACCGCTACTCCTGCTGAGCAAACCGAAACCCCTTCTTCTCCCAACAAGATGGATGTTGATGACGACGACGACGAGAAGAAGAAGCGCAAGCGCCACGAAGGTGAGACGCCCGAGGAACGGGCCGAGCGCAAGCGCAAGAAGAAGGAGAAGAAGGAAAAGAAGGAGCGCCGGAAGTCCAAGCAGGAGAAGGAAGAGAGCGACGATAGTGATTAAACGCTTCCGGGAAGTTCTTTACCTGCCTCAGAATGGGGAGCGGCCGCTATACAATCGGTCTTGGCTTGTTGGAGCGTCGCTTGGGTATGATTCCTGTAACATACTTGTTTCTTTGTGTTGGAGTCTTGGGTTTGAAAAGGGAATCTATTTACTAAACAGATGTTTGTCGCGGTTCTGTATGCCAGTGTCTTTTTTTTTGTTTCAATTACTTCTTCCACCTGCTTGGTCCTTGAATATGAGTGAACCTCTTCGTAGTTGGGCGTGGGTACCGCGACTGGAGGCCCGTGACCGGAGGCGGTGTCCCCGCATCACTTCCGGTCACCATATTGGGCAACTTCGTACTACTGCTCCCCCATTTCTTTACCCTCAATTCACTTATGTCTACGTCACGTCCCATTTGATTGCTGCTTAGCCTTATAACTGCCCAGTTAGAAGTTCAATCACCGACCGTATTTTTGATTACCATGGCTGCGGAACTTACTTCAACTCGGCTCAATGCGGAGAACCATCTGCTCTTGGTATTGAACTCTTCGCCCCCTACCTATTGCTGGCTTGCACCCCATTCTGATACTAATTCTGTCGACTACTTGCAGGACCAACCTCTCCTGCGCTTACCACATGAGCTTGCACGTCGGAACTTCAAGTCTGTTCAGCGCCTCGTCGAGCGAGAAAAGGAGTACGTCCTCCCCGCACTCAAGGAGACCGCCAATGCATCCTTATCAAATGAGCAAACGCCTGACCAAGCTCTTGCTGCGCTCGATGCTATGATTTCCCGCATGCAAGGCTTGAAACGGAAAATGGAGAATCTACATCAGGAGGAAAGAAAAATTCAAGAGCAGTCCCGGAAGCGTATCCAGCACCTAGAGAAACTTCACCAGATTCCTAGCTTGGCAGACGTCCAATACGATCAGTGGGCGAGGGTCCGTTTGGACAGGCTCATGATAGATCATATGTTACGTTCCGGATATATCAAAAGTGCCCAGCAATTAGCTCGTGAAAAGGGGATCGAGGATCTTGTAGATCTCAACGTTTTCGTTCAGTGTCAACGGATTGCCGAGAGTCTACGCACTGGTGAAACGAAGGATGCCCTGCAATGGTGTGGCGAGAATAAAGCAGCGCTGAAGAAGAGTCAGGTTTGTCTAACATCCAACAATGATCACGGAGCTATATGCCAGAGTCCAATTCTAACCCAAAATTACAGTATAATCTGGAATTCGAACTCCGATTGCAGCAATACATTGAAATGGTCAGGGCGGGGCATAAAGAGAGATTCAACGACGCTATGATCCACGCCAAAAGATATCTAGCGCCTTATCTTGAGACACAGTCGGTGGAGATTCATCGAGCTGCAGGACTCCTCGCTTTTCCTCCGGACACCAAAGCTGAGCCGTACAAGGTAATGGGGATATTGAACACACTCTCAGGAAAACTGTACAAACTAACTCACCCCTAGTCGATGTATGCTCACGAGCGATGGGCCTATCTTTCCGACCTCTTTGTCCGCACTCACCATGAGCTTTTGTCACTATCTTCTCGTCCTTTGTTACACATCGCTCTGTCTGCGGGATTGTCGGCTCTCAAAACTCCTTCGTGCCATTCGGCCTATACCTCCTCCAGTTCGAATTCGTTGTCCACAACAACATCTGTTTGTCCAATTTGTTCGACCGAGCTTAACGAGCTCGCACGTAACATGCCATATGCTCACCACACGAAGAGCTACGTTGAGAACGACCCGATTGTGCTCCCAAATGGCAGGATTTACGGCCAGCAACGGCTGTTGGAGATGAGCAAGAAAGTCGGTTGTGTTGAGGTTGGTAAAGTAAAGGACCCTACGACAGGTGAAGTATTCAACGAGGGTGATATGAAGAAAGTCTACATCATGTAATAAGGAACGCGTACCAAGGCTATGCACGGCTGCAACTGGCCATGTTCCGTATCTGGTTTGAAACGGACAGTATAATTTTTATCTGCAAGGAATAGTTCGAGTTGGCATTTCCTATTCGCTGTCGTCGCTGTCGGATGCATCTCTTGGCCTCTTCTTTCTCGCACTCTGCCCAGCTTTGGAAGATGGGGCGTTCCTTCTCATCACCGGATGGTCTTCATGTTTGACTTCAAAGACGTACATTCTCGCGTCCCTATCTTCCCCCCTCCAGCCGCCTCTTCCACCGTCCTTTCCTTCAATGTCGCCCAGCGTCCGTGCATGGGAATACTCCTTATAAGAGGCCCACGGAAATCGAAAACTGGTGACCACTTGCAAGCCAGCATGCCTTGCAAGGTCTTTGATATTCCAAAGGGTGTAAGGCTCACCCTCAAACATCGACACTAGAATTTGACCTGGTTCCACTCTATTTCGGCATGTCGCCTGCCCCGTGGTATTGGCTGTTCGCAGTTGGTTGCCGTCTCCACTGCTATCATGATGGTTCTCACCCCCGCTTGATTCAACTCCAGAACCCTCCCAGTTATCCCAGTCGTCTTCATCATCACTATCTACGCGCTCGGGGCGATGAGACAACAAAGGCACACACGCTTTGAAGAACGCCACCAAGAGTTCCTGGTTGGCTCGCACCTGCCGATTGACGTCGGTGGAGATACCGCCGACATGGGGGAAGTTGAAGCAAATCACATCCCACGGCCCACCTTGTGGTGCAGATGAGGCGCCGCTCTTTGCTTCTTTCCAGGCCGGGCGTCTTCGCTCCTGTCGTGGAAAGCCTGTCCGAATTTCTTTACCGCCACCCGCAGGAAGACCGAGTTTTCGAGCGTCAACTGAGTAAATGACTTTGGGTCCACGACGTTGCGCCTGGTCCTCAAGGAACCCTTGTGCATTGGTTTCCACAATTCCTGCATCGCCGCCGATGGAAGAAATCTCCTTACTGTCCGAAGCAAGCTCCTCCGTCGTCGCCTTGGAAAATGCATACTGTATATCGTGGATGTTATTTCCAGCTTTGGGGTATTTGCTGTGGAGCGTGTCTTTGGAATCATAGCAGGTAGCCATGACATTCTTGCAACGGTGCTGGAGGACTAATGAGCGGGCAAAGGAGAAGTCGCCTACACCAATCTAGTTAGGACTGCGGTCCAACAAGACAACTTTATGACATGGTTCTCTGGGGCAGGTCCCCCCTTCCCCGATGCTGGAATAGCAAGTAGGATGTAGACAAAGGCCAACGTGAGCTTGGCCCGCAGACCATGAGCATTTACTCTCCGGGAGCCGGGGGACAAGGGAAAAGAAAGGCACAAAAGCAAGTATCAAGAATGTATAAGGCAACGCATGCATCGATCGAACCGGAAGAAGGGCACATGAAAGTAGAATGGGAAGAAAGGATGAACCCAACTCACCTTCCCCAACCAACAAAATCCGATCCTTTCTCCCAAAAGGCACAATAGGCCGCTGATTCTTCTGCAGCTGTTGCTGCTGCTGCTGTGAATTCTTCATCTTCCGATCATTGTTGCTGTTTTTAGCATTACCCGACCCAGGTTGGTGATGAGCACTCTGAGCGGCTTTAGGCTTTGCAGGGTTCGTAGTTGTGGTAGTCGAAAGCTTGGCAAATGATGCCATTTTGCGATGCTTTTTTGGATGCTGTTGCTGTTGCTGGCCTGCTGGGGATGAGACCCCAGCTTTTTTGGACTTGGGCATTCTTTCTTTTCCTTTTTTTTCCCTTCCCTTCCTTCTTTTTTGTCTGGTGTTTTAGGGTATGTCAGGGTGTTATTAGGGGCCGGAGAGAGTTGATATTAGGGATGGATCTGGAAGGGGGGAGGGGGTTCTCTTTTCCAGGTAGGAATAGTGTACAGTACAGATTATATATATATGTTACCGATATATATATTTGCGATGAAGGTACTACGGTGGAGGCATGCGGTTCAAAATTCTAGGATTGCTGGTTGCCGCATGGACCAATGAGAGGGTCGGGTTTGCGGGATGACGGTACTAGGACCGGACCCCTTACTAGGGACGGAGATTCATCAGAACTAATAGTAATAGTAATTCAACAAGATTATAGGTAATGGAACTCTACAGCAACCATTCGCCCTCAGGAGTGCAACTCACAGATTTGTTCAGAATGCTCAACCAATACTATTTCCATGTAGTATACCCACGGGAATCTCCATGGGACTTCTTATCATCTAGAAAGAACTCTTGAGCGCAACCTCGACGACTAGTGCTCCTGCCGCGGAGTAATCTTCAGTCATCCCAAAAAAAAGACGCTTCAATTCTATAAAGTTTATTAAAAAGGCACTAGAAAAAGAAAAAACTTCTTATATACAGGCTTATACACCAGAAAAGGCCTTCCTTTTTGATGAATCCTCAACCGCACGAAACCTTACTTTGCGAGGCCTCGCCACAGGCAAGAACACGGAACACGCCATGATCAGCAACAAATGAGACATGTCATATCAATCCACGGCATTACTAGACGATATTCAAATGGAAGCCATCTGCGCAGCCCGATAAAGGAAACAAAAAGAATATGCGAAAAGGGTCATGATCGGGGCAGACATTTGAAAGCAAAGCTGAAAGACCAACAACAGCAAAATAGAGGCCTTTCAGGTAGCTCGGCACGTGGATATTGAATACAGAACCACCAACACCTGCCGAGAAAGGAATGAAGACTGTGACTCAGGGTTTGAACAGCCCCCGCCAACTACAACGAAACGAAGAATCACATATCACATGCGAGTAACGAGCACATTCTCGAACTCGGTACGGAGAAACCTCGACAATGATCAAGCCGGAGCAGTCGCCCACAACGACCCGACCATCCCGTTGATCTCTAGGCAAATCGATTTAGGAACGCAGCGAGTCCCGCATACTCTGGCTGCTGGCGCTGACCGGGGGGTTGGCGGTCGGCAAGACACCAGTCCTTGGCTTAGCGTTTTGCTTGATCTTAGCAACGGCGTAGACGATACCGCTAACAAAGCCAACGACGATAGCCGAAACGCTGGGGAAGGTAACAGGGGCATCGAAGAAAATAAGTCCAGAGATAGCAATGGGAAGCTTGTTCAGAGCTCCAACCATGGAGTAAGTGGTCGAAGAAGTGACGCGAACGCACCAGGCGGAGGTATAGGAAATAAACACAGACGACAAGCCGGAGAGGATCATGGCGAAAACGATGCTGTTGCGGTCCATGGGAGGGAAGTTGCGGTTGACGTTGGTGGATGACCAGTCTTCCAAGAAAGCGGACAGAACGATCAGGACGGGAATCGACAGAAGGTTGTTGTAGAACATGGCTAGAGAACAGCAGGTCAGTAAAGGATGCTTTTGAGCCACAATGTTTTTAGTCTGAGTAACGTACTGTCAAAGTCCTTGAAGTTGGTCAGCTTGATCCGCTTGCGCATGCCCAAAACATAGGACGACGTGCAGAGGCAGTTGACCAGCATCCAGATATAGCCTGCATTCAAAGTAGACACCTTGGCGGTCGCATCGCCATTGCTCTCGACAGCGTGCTTGATGTCAGCCCAGGCGGCAATGATAGAGCTCAGGACCATCAATCCGAAAGAGAACAGGGTAAGACCGGTGACGGAGCCACCAAACCACAGCACCTCTCCGTAAGCGATAAGGATGATGGTCAAGTTCTTGAAGATGGTGTAGACGGGAATCGAGAGGAACTGAAGCGCCTTAGAGCCCGTGTAGATCATGCCGATCAAGAGCAGAGTGATGGGGAACCCTAGTGATAATCAAAGGCACGTCAGTTCGAGGGCGCGAGGGGATCTAACGAGCAGGCAGAGCACTTACACTTTCTGGCCTCGTCCGCGCTGAAGTCGCGATAAGTGATCAAACCACATGATTTACAGGTCTGGATAGCGATGATACAAACGAGAGACTGCAGGCAAAATCGAACAGCGGTCAGCCTTTGAACATCCAACACACACCCATCATGTGCTCCGATTTTAGCCAACATACCTGGATGCAGAGGAGGAAAAAGTTGAGGTTGAAGTCAGTGCCGGACAAGACATATTTGTTCATGACGGTCATCAAAATCGAGGATCCACAATAGGCCAGGACGGGCAAGATGGGGTTGTTGGACAGCGAGCCCGACGGCGGACTCCTGGGCTGAGGCGGCGGCGGCGCCTCGAAGCTCTTGTTGCCCTGGTCTATCGAATCCATCTGGATCGTGTAGTCGTCGGTCTTCTTGCCTTCAGCCATGGTGACTGGATTCAATGAGTGTCTATGCGAAGGGGATAATTGATAACGATAGGCCTGTGGGAACGAGGAAGGGTCGTGGCAAGGCGAAGGCGAGTCGGGGATGAAGTGATAGTGGCGGCGCCGGAGCGAGCGTCAAGAGGAAAGAAAACCCGCAAGTATAAAAAAAGAACACGAAACACCAGCCCGGAGATACGTTCTACTCAGCCAGGCACTTTTGAAAGAACGGGGGGAAGTGAGGATGTGAGGAGGACGAGGGGGGAAAAAGAGGGGGGAGACACGAGGAGAAAGTCGAGAAAGAGGCTGAGGATAAGCCGGGGGCAGGAAGAAAGACCACAGGGAAGAAGAATAATAATAATATCGCGAACGAAGGCGAAGGGGGAAAAGCAAATTACTTGGGAAATGAAAAAAAGGTTCCCTTTCCCGCCTGGGCTGGAACTGCCGCTTCCTCCGGATGCGGCGTACAAATCGGTTATTTTTAATCTTGGCTGTCATTCCAATACATACATACATACAGTGGATTCATGTTTCTCTGTGACGGTGTGCCATGCTTCGCTTTTGGCTTTTTCAAAGTTCACATTACCTGTGTCTTGGTCGATTGTTTCCCGGTCATCACTGATCTTTCTCACAGTGCCACGTTTTGTCCTATTG